CTTCGGACAGTGCTGGCTCTTTTGGCTTTGAAACAGAGATGAGCACCGCCCCCTAGAGTCGGGAACGACTAGCACATATGTGCGAGGGGAATCTTTACTTTTACAATGTGCAGGAGCCTCTTACTAAACAGTCCCTTGAATGCAACACAGGGATGGTTGTGCGTCTGGTTGCATATTTTTTGTACGTGCGTGGGTGTGAGAGAGAGCGCACCTAAGTAAAAACATTGCACAACCAAGTCAGTTGCTGTCCTTTCACAGGGGCTGCTTCTGCTCCCACCCCCACCAGGCCAAGGCTGCTTGGTCTGAAGTAAACCAAACTGCGGTAACACCTTCCTTGCTGTCAAATGGCCACCTAGAGCAATGTGGTGAGTTAAATAATACCAGCCAGAGTCCTGTGACATGGAGGACATTTAACAGGATGGGCAAAATGCTCGGCTCTTCATCAGCTGTGGCCCTTGTTGGCTGGCCAGCCGGCAATGAGGCTCAGAAGTGACGCCAAAGAAACGTGGAAGTGCCACAGAAGAAAAACAGAAGCCGCCTCTTGAGGAAGCTCCTTCCGGAGCCCAAAGCCGGAGACCTGCTCAGGCCTGGGGGGGGGGGCGGAGTGAGTGTAAAGGAGAGGCAGCCCTGAGGGGCAGAGCAGATGAGGGGCGATCCGGCCACCAGCCTCAGAAGTTCCCTTGCTGGTTCCAGGACCATGGAGAGCAGGCCGATGCCCAGAGGGTCTCTCAGAGCTGTTCTTGGCTTCTGACAGAGGAACGGGAGATCCACTCTTGGGGCAGGCAACATGGGATCCGGTGCTGGCTAGGGGCCTCCATCCTGCTCCTTGACCCTTGTGAGGGAGGTTTCAAAGCATCTGCTGCTGCACCAAGAAACAGCTAAATGTCTGCTAAGGGGCCGTAATTCCTGCACAGAATTAATAACAAATCTTCCCTGCCTCTCTTCAGCCTCCATGCCCATTTTCAGAGCCCCAACCTCTGCTAAACATTTCTCTCCATTTTTTTTCCTGCTCGGGAAACGCAGCCTGAAAAGGACGAATTTGCATTTCAAATCATTGTTTGTTGTTATGACAACAGCAGGATAGATTCCCCCCCCCCCCACCGCTCCATGTTTTCCCTTTCTGGGCTTTTGAACTACTCATCATCATCATCATCATCCACATTATAGTGTACAAGTAAAAATTTAAGATCTGACCTTGCCCAGAGAACGCCTACTTTCCTTTGCCTACGACCGTGGAAAGCAGAGGACAGGAAAATAAAGGAGAGACAGGTCGGTGGGCAGGGGACGTGAGGTGGGAAATGGCCCAGGAATAATAAGCCAGGGATCCCCTCCTCTCTGGCCAGAGAAGAAAAGGCCTCTTTCTGGGCAGCCGAACCACAGCAGAGCTGTGCCGAAGACCCTCTTGCTCTCTCCCTTGTGCTCTTTTTAAAGGGAGGGATGGGCTGTGGATCCTCAGGGCAGGTGGGTTCTCGCCCTGAGAGCCACATAAAGCCATGATCTCTTGTGGACTTAGTAAGAGCAAAGCCTCGTTCCGTCAGACTGAGCAGCCCCAGTGATGGTTCCAGCTTGAGTCCTCCAGTTCTCAGGCAGATAGATCCTCACAAGGAATGGAGAAGGAGCGAGACACCCAAAGGCTTCTTCCATGAGGCTGGATCTCAAGGTGAGGCCTGCAGACCAGTTGCCTCCCTCACCCGGTAGCAGTGTGGCTGCCCATTAGCTTATCCTTATCCTTGGGTCAAAGGAACAGGTGCCACCCCAGCACAGAAAATCAGAGCTGCTGCTTACTGGACACCTGGCTTTCCCAAAGGTGCTTTTTCAGGTGAAAGAAAGCAGAACTGGAGGTCACTGAGGCCTCAACGTGTAACCCCAACTCCCCTAATTACATGCTATGGATGCCCCTTCTCCCTCTGGAAATGCTCCCCATCCCAGGTGCTACAAGGAGTATTTTCCAAAGAGTGGGGAAAGCAGCCACAATGGTGCCACTCTGCTCGGCAGGAAGATGGGCAGGTGCTGGACAAAGACTGGCTGAAGCCTGTAGGAACTCTTGGGGTAACTCTCCCTCCAACCCCGTGCTGTGGCTGTCCTGTGAGTGAAATTGTGTGGGGGGTGGGGGTGGGGGGCAGATTTCCTTATGAGACAGTCGGAGTCCATTTGTCTACTTGGTGTTGCAGTTTTTTGGTCAAACCCATCCCAGTTATGCAAATATACGTATCTTCCTAATGTATAGCATAATGCATTTATGTACATGGCTTTTATAAATATTTGCATTGCTGTGCAGATATTTTAACACACACACACAGTATGCTGTACACATTGATATTGTACACATCAGTGATGGGTTTCAATTTTTTTTACTACCGGTTCTGTGGGCATGGCTTGGCAGGCGTGGCATGGCTTGGTGGGCGTGGCTTGGTGGATGTGGCAGGGGAAGGATACTGTAAAATCTCCATTCCCACCCCACTCCAGGGGAAGCATACTGCAAAATCCTCATTTCCTCCAGATCAGCTGGGACTTGAGAGGCCAAGAATAGATGGGGTGGGGCCAGTCAGAATTTTTACTACCAGTTCTCCAAACTATTCAAAATTTCTGCTACTGGTTCTCCAGAACTGATCAGAACCTGCTGAAACCCACCTCTGGTACACATGTAATTTTACGAATGTTGGACTAGGTGAAGTTGGGTCTTTTAAACTCATCTCTGAGGATTTTATTGACATTTCAGCTTTTGTTGCAATTTCTTTTACATTAAATTGAATGATTAAAAACACAAAACGTACGTTTCAGCACAATATTAACCTAAAAATCTTACATAAATCTACCCAGGAACCAGCCCTGCCCTCAAGGCATCATTTTATTTATTTATTTATTTATTTATTTAATTTGTATACCGTATTTGTATATATCAGAGTCCCAGATTCCCCCCATCCCCCAGGGCAGCTGCAGAAAGAGCCACTGGAAAGGAATTCTGCTCCACCCACCTCTTGACCAGCCTTTCACTGCAAGCACCTCCCTCCAAAATTCACAGGTAAATTGCCCCCTTTGGTGCCGCAATTTGCTTTGCTTCCTTTATTAAAAAGAAACCAAACAGTCAGAAAGTTTCACTGAAACTAAACACATTACTACCTGTATCAAGTCTTTTCTATCTGAAAAATTACAGGAGTTGAGATTCCCTCTTTTTTTTTAATTAAGGTGGCAAATGTCTCTGGCAAATTAATCAAGGTAATCGCTCTCCAAACACTGTGATTTATTCTAGTGGCCTTAATTAGATCTTGATGGCCAACTGTGAAAATTAGGGCCTGTAATTCACAAGTTGTGGCAAGACGCTGATGTTTATTAACCTCGTGGCTTCAAACCCAGAACATTTCAGGTTTTCAAGCACCTTCAGAAAAATCTGCCCATTATATCCAATTCCCAGATTATATTTTCTGCGTTCCAGAAGAAAAATATCCAGGCGTAGAACAAGTCAAGCCAAAAGGACAACCCTTATGCAGGTGGGCCCCACCTTGAAAAGGTCCCCAAATCCCAGAAGACAAATTTGAAAACATCTCAGCCAGCACAGAGGGACAGGGAGTGGGGGCGATGGGGAGTGTTTCTGTTCCTTTCAGCTGAAGAAGTGGGAAGGGGAGGAGACCTCCACCCCAGGAAACTGCTCCCCTCCTGTCTTCAGGTAAAACCTGGCCAGGAAGGTGAACAGGAAATGAAACTGCAGTTCACTGGTGCTCAAAGGTGAGAACATGGCCCTTCCCTTTTGAAACTAATAGTTAGTGCTCACAACACCCCCTGCATGTAGGCCAATAAAACGGATCACTCCCCTCCTCCTCCTTTCCAGAAACACACAGGTTAACTAACCAGAGCTGAGCAAAACTACAACCTGTACCAAAATTAACTGCAATGATCGGGGTGTGTGTGTGTCCGTGGGGTCAACCTCACTTCCCAACACCAGCATTCCCTGCCAGGAACCCAGCTTGGCTGCCTGTGTGCAGAAGGGCCTGCAACCTGTACTTGTTACATTGAAAGCAGCGGAGAGAAGGCAGCTCGGATCCCAGCTCCCATGAGCCTCCTCCCCCACCAATGTGCCCTGGCTCAGGGCAAGCAAGGGATGCCAGCAAGCATCTAGACTGGGGCAGACTCACTTGTTCCCACCTGAGCATCTGCTATAAAAACAAGGGGGAGAGAAGAAGAGCTGGCTGGCTGCCTTTTGCAAATGAGGGGATGGTGGGGGGGGGCTGAACAGGTCCTGGAGCTCTGTGGGAACCCTGTGCCCTGTGTGTGCGCGTGCGTGTGCGTGTGCATGTGTGTGTGTGTTTCTGCAGAGCTGGAAATCAACACCCACACCAAAGGAACTCCTCTCAGGCTGAAGGAGATAAATAAAACTGCAGCTCAGAGAGAGATAAGGCAGCAAGACGCTCTTCATGCCATTTACAAGAATTCCTGGCTGCCAACCATATATTGGAGAATCTAAGTAGGTTTTTCCTGAACTCGGGGCAGGAGTGGGGGAGTGGGGTTTGGGCAGAGTGCTTTCTGGCCCTCCAGAGGCAGCGGAGGTGGGTCTCAATGCCTGGGTCTCTGGCAGAATTCATGTTGCCACACCCAGGTGTGTCTTTTGCAAGGAGGACTCTTCAAGGGGAGACCCTCGGCCACTTACAGGAGATGCCCACGGAGGGCAGAGGCAGAAGAGGCCACAGAACATCTGGAGTCCCATCTGTAAGGATTTCTCAAATTGCGCTTGCATGGAAAGGAGGGCAGGGCTATGCTGTCCTTCAGGCTAGGCCATGGGGGAGGGTGGGACACCGGACGGCTTCAGCTTAGCCATGTGTGAACCCAGCCAGTCCGGTTTCAAAACCATGGTTTAGCGTGTTGTGAGAAGCGAGCCGATTGTGGCTTATTCGGAGAGAACTGGACTTAGCAGGGTGAGTGGATCCCGCATATGGGGTGGAGGGACGTGACACACAGCTCTCAGGAGATCCGCTGGCTCCTCCGTCCTGGGGCGGGAGGGGGCTTACCTGGGCGTCCATCAGGAGCTGGGTCATGAGGGACATAGATCTCCTCAGGGTGCCGCTCTCGCCGGGCAGGAAGGCCTGCTGGGGGTGGCCGCCGTCCTCCTCCTCCTCCAGCGCCTTGGCCTTGTGGACAATGAAGTCGGAGATCTGGTCGTTCAGTGTGCGAAGCGACTGCACGGCTGAGGAGAAGGAGGGCAGGAAAGAGGGGTCACCTGCAGGCAGCGGCAGCTGGGAGAAGGGGGGGGGGGCTCCCGTCCACCTCCCACCAGGAAGGCGGAGAAACAGAGAGGAAAGGCAGCGGAGCCATCCTTATCGCACCCCCGGGCGGCTGCGGGAACGGGGCAAGGGGGCACAAGGGTGGCTGTGCCTGGGAGGCGCCGCCTGCCCCTCTTCATCCCTGCGCTGAACCTGGCTTGAAAAAGGTAATCGGGATGCGAGCCCCCCCGCCCCGGCCAGTCAGTTCCCCGGGGAGCGGAGGGAGGGCCTGGCGGGCTATCAGCGCCACCCGCCCACTCCTTCAGGGCCGGTCCTGGCCGAGCAGCGGGCGAAGGTCCCTTCCTTGCGGAGAGAAGGCCGGCCCGACCCCTTCCGAAGTGCCGAGGGCGGCGGCCAGGGAAAGGGTTCCCCTCCGACGCCCTCGCCAAGAAGACGGCCCCCCCCGCCTCTCCGAAGGCATCCCAGGGGGTCTCGGGAGGGGGGGGGAAGGGCGGCGGCGGCGGGGCTCACCGGCTGCGCGGCGGGATGGTTCCTTGAGGCCGCCGGGTAACCCCCGCCGATTGTGCTTTACTTTGCCCATGAGGACGGGAGCTGGACGGATTCGACTCGGTCTCTTCCCCGACTGCCCTCAGGCGCGCGAGGCTGACCTGCGAGCCAAGGCCCGAGCGGGGAAGCGGCCGGGCGGCTCCCTCAGGCTTTTCCCGGCCGGCGACTTTGAGGCTTCCCCTCAGGGGCTCCTCCGCTCCCACCACGCCGGATCTGTCCTGGGAACAGGTCTCTCCGCACAGCCTCACCGAAGCCCCCCCACAAGACCGTGGCTTTCGGGGGGGAACGTCTGGTGAGTCTCGCACAAGGTTCATGTTTAGCAGACGATATTGTTGCACTTGCGCCCCACCGCAAGGCCCTACGGGAGCCCCCCCTCCCCCCACCGGGCGGTAGCCAAGTGATCCTGAGGGAGGGAAGGAGGGAAACCCCGTCGCCTGGCCAATGTCCAGGGAGGCTCTGGCCTGGCCCTGGAGGGAGGCGGTGCATCCTGTGGGGGGACAAAGGGCCCAGAGCTGAATGCTTTCTGGCCTCTTCTGGAGGTTACCGACTTCCCAGACATGGGCTGAATGTGGTCAAAGGAGCCCTGGGGGTGGATCAGCAGGGGCCCCAAAGAGACCCTTTTCCACCCTAGAGAATGAAGAGAAGAGGAGGAGAAGAGAAGAGAATTCTTTATTGGCCAAGTGTGATTGGACACACAAGGAATTTGTCTTTGGTGCATACGCTTTCGGTGTACATAAAGAAAAAATAAAATACGTTCATCAAGAATCATAAGCTACAACACTTAATGATAGTCATAGGGTACAAATAAGCAATCAGGAAACAATATCAATAAAAATTGTAAGGATCCAAGCAACAAAGTTATAGTCATACAGTCATAAGCGGAAGGAGATGGGTGATAGGAACGATGAGAAGATTAATAGTAGTGCAGACTTAGTAACTAGTTTGACAATGTTGAGGGAATTATTTGTTTAGCAGAGTGATGGCGTTCGGGAAAGAATTGTTCTTGTGTCTATTTGTTCTGGTGTGCAGTGCCCTATAGCGTCGTTTTGAGGGTAGGAGTTGAAACTGTTAAAGACCCAGTTTGTGGGGGCAATAAGCTGACTTTGTATAAAATATACAAACGTATGAAGGCTATTGCTTAATGCACTGTAAGCTGTCCTGAGTCTCCGGAGAAGGGTGGCATATAAATCAAATTTAAAAAAAAACAAAAAAAAAAACAGTTTATGTCCAGGATGCGAGGGGTCTGTAAATATTTTCACAGCCTTCTTTTTGACTTGTGCAATATACAGATCCTCAGTGGAAGGCAGGTTGGTAGCCATTGTTTTTTCTGCAGTTCTAATTATCCTCTGAAGTCTGTGTCTGTCTTGTTGGGTTTCAGAACCAAACTATATAGGTGCACATGACAGAGAAGCAAGAGGGTCCGCCATAAAGACCTTAAGCAGAAGAAGGCTGGCCTTTCTCCTCTTGGACAAACCCCCAGAATGGTGCTGGCTTCCAAGCGAAGGCTGCCTTCTCTTGCCGTCCCCCTTCCCGGCCCGGTGATGGGCTGGAAGGGAAGGAGCCTTGTTGGCCCAGAGGCAAGATTGAGATTCTGCAGGGGCCATTCCAGACGCCTAGCAACGAGACAAAGCCACCTTCTTCTCCCCTCCAGCGGTATCTCCCAGAGGGCCTGCAGGGGAATGCGGAAACCCGGAATTCTCTTCCTCAGCCAAGGCAGCGCATAATGCACCCTCTCCAAAGCTGACCCACAAAGGAAGGGGGGCAGGTGAGCTGCAAGCACCCTGCTGGGGAATGGGACTCAAGCATGTGTCAAGGAGTCAGAAGCTGATGCCCCCAAAGAGGGTCCCCCCACACCACAGACACCCCAGGAAATGCGAGATTAACCGTCATGAGGATTGAAAGGAGGGTCTTCTCCCCTCCTTTCAATCCTCTGTGGCAGAAACAGCCAAGAGCACTAGAGCTCTATGTGTGTGTGTGTGAGTGTGTGTGTGTCAGTAGGCTTAATGGTCCTACCCAAGGGAAAGAGCACAGAAGGCAGGTGATAGCTTCAGATCTCAGCTTTAATCCTTCATCTCGACAGTCCTACCAGTGGAGAACTTTCCTCCTTAAAAGAGGAAGAAGAGCCCTTTGTGAAGGATCTTGCCATGTCCCCTATAAATGACCCTCAACTTTCCTGAAGCTTGACCCCCTGGAGTGAAGGCTCAACTTTAACAACTGTCTTGCTGTAGCCTGAGCATCCTGCAGAGAAGGAGTGAATTTCAGGCCACCACCTGAATTCAGAAAAAAACCAAGAATTCCACCTGGCAGGTGGACAGATTGTTCTTTCAAACCAGAAGCACTTTTCTTCCTCTTTAAGGTCAGAAAGGTTAAGGTCTTTTGGCTTCTTCCAAGCAGCCTTTGTCTCCCTCTCCTGGTGCTCCCTGGCTCTCACACGCCCCACTGGATAAAAACACCTTCCAGACCTTATCGATATCCAGGAGATAATCCTTGCAGAAGAGTTGTCCGTGGTTCTGATCGGCGCGTCACCTCCAGAGTTCAGCCCCTATCGGTCAGTTCTTGAAGGGGGCATCCAGAGTCTCTTGGGAAAGTTGTCTGATCAACAACAAACCTCTGCTTTTCCTTCAAGGGCGCACGAGGGTCTTTCCCTCTGATCCTGGCTGGTTCTTTTGACTGCAAGTACATCCAATCCTATTATTCTATGTTCTAAATATATCCTACTCAAAGCTCCCTGCAAGATTGCAAAGCAGGACACCTTGATCTTTATAGGCAAAGGCAGGTGTCAACTAGTCAGAATTCACGGCTGCAGCGACTGGTAACCCCACAGCAATCCTATGCCTGTTCAGCACGTATGAATCAAAGCCTTGAAACCGTTGTCTCTCACAGGAACAGGAAGGAAGGAAGGCAAAGGACTTTCTCAAAAGCTTGTATTAGCAAAAGTAACTCTCATTCATCTAGGAATCTATGCTGGTTAAAAACAATTCCATTGTCAAGTATTTTTAATGGATTTGTGTCATGATGTAGCCAGAGATAAGGTAGACTGCTTTTAAACAAAGCAGGAGAAATGTGAGATTTTGTCTAAGTCCTTGAATAAATCTGCTAATTCTGTTTTTTCAAATAACAGCACAGGGCCCCGGAAAACCCTTTTTCTTCCGCCGTCTGTTTTTGGTATCGTCTGCCTGCCATGAAAGACCAGGGACAGCAAAGAGCCCTTCCAACCACTGCCTTCTGAGCTGACTTGCTTCCTCTTCCAGGCCAGCAACCCCGTCTGGCACAGTGGCTGGACTGCATGAAGAGAGCCAGGAAAGCAGCTAGCTCCAAAGGGGCCTCTTCTGAATTGGTACACACTGGGTGGGCGGGCAGCTTTCTGTTCCACCAACTCACAATCGCCCTCACGAAAATAAAACGGCATAAAAAAGCCGAATCCTCTGCTGCGTCTTGAGTCTCCCCCCCAGCACTTTTACTGCAGCTGGCAAGAGGGAGGGTGGCCCTTGCTGGGGCTCTTCCTCGGAGTGTCCTTCTCCGGCCTCCCTGAGAAAGAGCTTCCTCTGCGGGCCGAGCGGTTGCGTGGCCAGCTAAGGAGGAAGGTGCCAAAGCCTGCAAAGGAAAGCCATGGTGGGCACCGTCCTGGCTCAGGGAGGAGAGGCTTGAATGGCCTGCAGGGACAGGCGTGGAGCCCACTGCCCTCCGGCTGGTCTGATTAACCCCACAAAAGTGGCACCAGAAACACCCTTTCCATGTCTGGGAAATGAAAATGCCCCCTTGAGACAACAACTGCCTTGCGTCAATTCCTCTCCAGCAAGGGGCGGGGAGAGGCTCCCTTTCGGGTCCACAGGGCCAGCCGCCTGCTTAGCGAGGCAACACGTGGCTGTCTCCTGTCTGAGCCAATCCAGCTGCCGTGGAGGGGGCTGCATTGGAACAGGAGCTGCGAACGAATAGAAGACAGCCGAGCGTTTTGCCTCTGTCGGGGCCAAAGCGCAGAGGGACCTCCCTGCCAGATGTGACAGCTGGCCTCCCTTTTTCCTTCATTCCTCCTTGGCCGGGCCACATTGGCAGCAGGGCTCCCTATTTGGATGATGCTAGAGAAACGGAGAAAAGACCCTTCGCTACCGGCCACCCTAACCCTAACCTCCACTCCCATTTAATTACCTCCCTTAAGGACTGTAGCCCTGCAGCATGCAACCGAAAGGCTGACCGTACGGGACTCCCAGTTGCCTCTCTCAGATTCGCCTGAAGAGATTGGCCCAGCTTAGACCAGTAGCACCCCAGCACCTGCTGGGTCGCCCAGGAAACTGTCCCCGTTATCACCCCTGGAACAACTGGGAGAAGATGAGCAGGGAGGGACTTGAACTAGCCCAAATCCTCTTTAGTTCCCATCAGCCTACATGCCCAGCAGTATGGGATGGGGGATCCGTAACGTCCTTCCGACCTAGGACAGAACCCACAACTCTCCTGGTTGTTCAGGGCCCTCGGCTCATAGCAAGGACAGAGAAGGAGCTGGAACAACAGCTACAACAACATCAGCTGCCACCACTCCTTTTGGCTCAGATCCAGTCCCTCATAACACAACCCATCTTCCTTAAACAAAGCCAGTTTCCATTTCTGAGTAGTCGCACGGGTGAAGCCGCAGTTCTTGTGTCCAACGGCAGCCCTGATTTTGAACATGCCTCAGGGTGAAATCCTGTACAACAAGGCAGGGGCACAAGAGTATCTGTGGATATTGTTCATCTCATCCCTGTGTTGGTGGAGAATGTTTTGATTGGCCCATCTCTGCATCTTATCCCTTACGGCCGCTGAACCAGCATTTCCTCCCTCTGCATCACTGGCTGTCAAACCTGGGACATATAGAAAGCTCTCTTGGATAGCTCATTCCTTTTCCAGGGATAGGTAGCAGGAGAAGCATGTCACCCTCCCCCCCTTCATTGCCCCACTCCTCTTACCTGCCTCCAGAAGTTGACACTGATGGCCAAACACCTGCGAGAAGGTGACCGGACTGGTGGTGTCCACAGACGAGGCCTCCATAGCTTTAGCAGGTCTCCCAGCTTAGTTGTGCAGACTCTTCCGAGGGTCTTCAGTCATCCCTCCTCCTCTCTGGTGAAGCAAACGGGCAGGAAATAAACCACCCTGGCAGCGGGGGTGGGGTGGGGTGGTGGTGGCAATCTCACCTCCGCCTTGATGTGGCCAAACTCCCTCCCTCCCTTCCTCCCCCTTCTTCATCTTCAGTGAGAGGCCTCTGAAGTCCCTGAGACGTGTGTTCCTTGACCCTGGGGTCAATTTCAGAAGCTCGTGGATGACCCAGTCAAACTCTTGCTTTTCCTTCCTGGGGAAATTTGGCAATTCCCCTGGCAGGAGATCAACTCGTTTGGTGAGGCAGCCTCATAGGACACTTCCCTCCTTGGCTTTGGCAAACCTTCCACAGCCAGAGCAAACCAACCCCTCCCCCCCCCATCCAGACAGCAACATCGGTGCCTTGTCAAGTAGCCAGCTAGCGTCCATCTCGGTCTGGCTCTGGCTCCCAGAAACCAGTTTTAGGAATCCTTGCTGAAACCATACGATGATCAGGATGGTGGTGGTGGATGGCACTTTGGGATGGTGTCTGATACAAGGGGGAGGGGGAAGCCTCCTCTTCCTCCTCTCCCTTCCCGGCCCCTGCTTACCTAATGCATCTCTCTGGTCCTCTCGTTCCCCCTTTCAAGCCCTGCAGCTGAGCCCTTCGCCCGGCACCAGCATCTCCTCCAGCGGTCTGCTGCCCTCCCTCCCTCCCTGGGCTGAAAGTGGGGAGGGGGAGGAGCTAAGGAGCATCACTGATGACGTCACCTTCCTGCAGTCTCTCCTCCCAGGCCGGTCATGCAAAACACCCTCCTGAAAACAGGGGAGGGAAAGTAGTCCCCGGGCCCCTAAGATCCCCATCGTGCCCGTGACTGGGGTCATTCCCTGATGCAGAGGCCAGTCTCTAGCCTCCTGCCTCTATTGGGCTTCCTTAACCAGCCCCCCCCCGCCTTAAACTGGAGGGGAGAGAGCACTTAAAGCATAATTAGTTTGTGTATATAGTTCTAGCAGCAGGTTGGAGCTCAGCATCTCAGATTGTCCAAAGAAAAGATAAATCTTTTGGTAGTGAGCACAGTAAAGCCCGGAATCATTGGACCAAAGGAGTTGAGCTCCCCACCCCCCCCCCCCCCCCCAAAAAAAAACAACTCATCAGACCCAGCCTTTGCTGGATGCATAAGCCGAAATCAGAGAAGGGCTGTCTGGTCTCTTCTGCCCTTAGAGATCGTCGTCTCCAGAAGCTCCCATCTGGAATCTGCCCCCCCAAAAGACTCCCCATCCTGACATCCAAGATGACGAGATGGAGCACTTCCATTTATTCTACTCCTACCCGGGTCAGCGCATCTGGCGTCTTCTCTTTCCTTGCCAGAGCCGGCCTCTCCCGACCATCCGTTGTCTGTGCCTGGTTTCTTTGGCAGGGGAGATCTGGATTGAGAACTGCAAGTGACTTGGAAACCACGGTTCTCCTGATACACATCTGGACTTGCAGGCATCCAGATGCTTTTCTGTGGATCTCCAGCCCCTCCTGCAGATTAAATCTGCCTGCGCCTCTTTTCCACTCTGGCCCTCGTGTTCCCCTTAGGATCAGCGCAATGTCAACTTCACTGTGAGACTTAGCCGTGAGGAAGCGAAGCTACCCCCCACCTCAGTTTTCTCCAGAGGAACCATCTTGCACTGAGGTTGGGGGTGGGTGGGAGCTCAGATCCCTGGAGGAAGAGCCTCGGCTGTCTGGAATGGAAGGCCGGTTCGCCCTTCCCTGCAAAGAAACCTACAGCATCACACACATACACACACCCCGTAGTGTTTTGTTGGTGCTCCAAGATGTTCCCAACAGCAGCAGCTCTGGACGGAGGGTGCAGAGGGTGATGGCTGAGTGCGAGGGACTGCAGGGACCCTCCACGCAATGGCCAACCCCCACCTCCTTTCCGCAGAACCGGCTGCAAATTTGCAAGCAATGACAAACTGGGTTTTGTATGGCAAATTGGAAATTTTAATGTTTTTAATAGAATAGTCTTTGCATCACTCTCCAACAAGAAAGAAAGAAAAAGAAAAGGGGGGAAATGAACTACAGAACAGCAAACTTTAATACAAGAGCCATCTTCAGAAAAAAGACCCTCTTATCTCCCACATAAACAAATTAATGTAAAATGTAAATCACATATAATACAACTGAAGTGTCAAAAACAATTTAAATAATTTTAAATATTTTATCCCCCCCCCAATTTCCAAACTTGCTACGAATGCTTTATACAACTGTTGGGTGTAGATGTCCCCCATGAATCGGAAGAAACGCAACCAAAAGACAAAAGGGAATGATAGCGAGAGGTGGTTCAAGTGGCATGAAGTTGCCAAAGCAATATCAAAACTTCAGATTTTAAGAGGTAGATCACTTTTCTTTTTTAAGTCAAGGACAAGTAACTTTAAAATATGGGCGGGGGGGGGGGAAAGAAAAGTCAAATGAAGTCATTGTTGTTCATCCAAATGGAAAGGCAAGGTTGGGGGGGAAAAAGGGAACCGCCTCTCTTTGCGAAAAAAATAATAAATTGTGGGCACGATTCAGTTCTGCTTTACAACAAGGGGGAAAAGAGGGGGCTCTTGCCCACTCTGCTGTGCCCCCCCCCCGATGGACGGCCTCTCCTGGGGGCTGCACCGTCTTCTGCGGGGAGCTGGTCATCCACCACCAAACCGCGGACGTGTCTCATCCAGCCCAAGGGAATTTGGGACAGGGAAACGTTTCGCCCACTAGCGTCCTTCCTGCTCCCCCCCTCCCAAGGGGTGAAAAGCAGCGGCTGGGACCAAAGCCAGCAGGGAAGAGGTGGTGAGGTTGAGGAAGGAAGGGGGTCCCTGGCGGTCTTTTCCCACCAGCTGGCCTGACACCAAGGCCTTTGCAGAGTGGTGGACCGAAACTTATTTTGGGTGCCATGCAAACACTTTTGTCATCCCTGATACTTGCCCGGGGCCTTCTGACGAGCGTTGCTCCCAGCATGTTTGGCAAAACTCCTCCCTCCTCCCGCTGAGTTTTTAATCTGCTTCCCTCCTTACTGCGCCAGGGGAAAGCCAGGTGCCCAAGCAAAGGTGGCATTTGCTCCCGTGGAACTTGACCGAGTCCTTTGTAAAAACCCCAGGGCTGCCAGGGGAGAAGAGGGGCAACCTCATTCCATAGAAAGGTCTTTTCTCTGCAGCTAAGAATCGCCAGGCTTGGCTGATGGTGGTGGTGGTGGCAACTGAGGCCGGCTCTGCGGTGAGCCTGTCGGCAACTGCCCCAGCATCCTCGGCTCTGCCTGGTGGGAGGATGGAGCCTCCGCTTTCCTCCTCCTTCGCCTCCTCCTCCTGCTGCTGTTCCAGACGTCAGGCGGGCTGAGCCCCTGACCAGGAAAAACTCATTTACACATTTGGAGGGTTCGTCTGTTGAGGTCTCCTCAAGGGAGGCTCCTGGAGGGGAGAAAGCAAAAGCCATGATGTGGGAAAAGGGTGAAAGGAAGGGGAGACGTTGGAGGAAGAGGAGAACACACTTTATTTACCCCCTCCCCCCGCTGCTTGGCAGTTGGACGGTACCCTCCTTGGATCAGGAGAGCCACGGACGGCTCGTGCCAAGCCTAGTATCTACAAGAACAGGAACTCACTGAAGACAGGCAGCTACGGGCCTGAGAAATAAGCTTTTTAAGGCTGCCGTTTGCGACGGCTGCATCGGCCAAGGACCCACAATGGGAGAAGGCGAGGCCTCGGGCATGGCAGGACGGGGGAAGGCCAGGGAGAAACAAACAGCCACGGGTGACGCCAGAGAAAGGACCATTGTGGTGGCACGATGCTTGGCATGGCCTCTGTCGCATACCTTGGCCAGGTCTGCAGACGAGCCATCGCGGGATTCGAGCTTTGGCCTAACGTCATGTGTGAACCAGTCCACTTCAAGGCAAACTGGGCTAAGCCCCCACCAACTAGGGGAACCCCGGACGGGCTGTGTGTGAGAACACCAGAACAGGGAGGCCAGCCCTGCCGAGTGGGATCTGCCCAAGGACAGATTGATTGGCCAGAGGGCCCCTCCCTGACTGCAGAGCTGCCCATGTCCCAGCCGCTCCCAAGAAACAGCTCTATGGGCTGGAGCAGGACCTGGGGTGGGGGGGCTTTTTGGTACTCCCCTCCTCCCCCAGTCAAGGCAGAACCCCACCTTCCCCTCTGGAGGAGCCCCTGGCCCGTCTGGAGCACTACGTAAGAGCTCACCTGGAGTCCTTAAGCTCTGGCCGGGCGGTGCTCTCCTCCCTTCGGGCCTCCGTGGCCTCTGCAGAGGTGGCCTGCTGCTGCTGCAGGCTCCGGGTGATGGGCCCCCCCACCCTCTCCCGTGACTTGGCACTGAACCGGTTGGCAGCCTTCCTTTGGCCAGCCAGGGCTGCCTTGCCGCGCTGGATGCGGATGTGCAGCTTGCGTGAGGCTTTGCCCAGCAATCCAGGGGAGGGTCCCCCGCTCTTGGCGGCCCCCTTGCTCCGCTTCCCCTCTGGCAGGACCGCCTTGCCCACTCTCGCCGGGCCCACGCTTCTGGACGCAGGTGGAGGAGGGTGGCCCTTTTTGGGGAACTTGACGCCCTGCTTCAACTTGAAGGAGGCGGAAGGCAGCTGGACGGCCGCAGGCCCTGAGGTGCGGGCGCGAGTCTTGCCCAGCTGAGCGGCAGAGCCCTGCATTTTGATCTCGGTGTCGGCTGTTCGCCGACGGGGGTTGGCGCCACTCTTGCCACTGCCAGGAGACGAGCCCCCCCCTTTCTTCTTGGCCTTCTTCTTTGAGGAGGAGGAGGAGGAGGAGGAGGAAGGGGGCTTCTTGGGGCAGCTGTAGGAGGCATGCTTGTTCAGGCTCCCAATGTAGGTGAACTCCCGGCTGCAGTAGGGGCAGATGTGGGCACTGGGCTCTGCGCTGCCAGTCCTGAGCTCTGCCCGCTGCTGCTGCTGCTGCGACTTCTTCTTCTGCAGGATGGCCTTCTGGACCAGCTGCTGCTTCTTCTTCAGGGCGCTGAGCTTCAGCTTGTTGGAGGCTGCCCGGCTGGCCTCCACACCAAAGTCGAGCTGCTTGGGCTGGCCCACACGGCGGAAGGTGTTACCGGCCAGGCCGGGCAAAACCACCCCGTTTTTAGGGCGGATGGCCTGCTTCAGGGGCACAGGGTTCTTTTTCGGCGTGTACCGCTTTTTGTCACTGGCAGAGGCACAAGCCAAGATGTGCTTGTGCAGTTCGGGCATGTTGTCCACACTCTTCCCACACTTGGTACAGCGGATGGCGGTGGAGAAGGTCTGGGGGATGTTGTGAGTGGTGAAGTTTGTGGCCGTGGCCCCGATGCCGTTGGGGTTCCGGTGGTGATACTGGAATGGGGGTGGCTTAAAGCTGGGGTAGTGCTGGTTTAGGCCCATGCGGACGTCAGGGTCCTTCTGCTTGACCCCGGCCGCCATGATTTTGATGGTGGTGTAGAGCTCTTCAGAGGAGTCGTTCAGCTCCTCCTCCTCCTCCTCCTCCTCCTTGGAGGGCTGCAGGGTGGCAGCATTGGGCAGGCTCTGCATCTGCTCCACGCTGGCTTTGCTAGGATCGGTGAAATTCTGCAGGCGCAAAGTCCCGCTCTCGAACTGGTGGTGGCTGCATTCTTTGTCAGGGTGCAGGTCTCTCTGGTGCTGCTGGAGGTTGCATAGAAAAGCAAATTCCTTCTTGCAGGCGGAGCAGGCGAAGATGCTCCCCACCCCATGGAGCAGGAACCGGTGCTCCGACAAGGCCGCCTTCTCCCTGAAGAGCTGGACGCAGAACTCGCACTTGAAGGGCCACTCCCCGGCATGAACGGACAGGTGCCGGGTGAGGTCCTTGATGGCGAGGAAGGGGGCCTGGCAGACGTTGCACACAAAGCTCTTGCTGAAGGTTTCCTGGACGGCCTCTGCCGCGCTGGAGGGGTGGGGGTCCTCCCTCAGCCTCTGACCCACGGCCTCTCCCTCTTCTTGCTTGAAAGTCACCAGGGGGGCTGAATTCTCCAGCTGGTCGCCAGGAGAGAGGATGGAAGAGACCACTGAGAGGGGAGGCGGGGAAGGAGAGGAGGATGGTGATGCAGAAGAGGAAGAGGAAGAGAAAGAGGAGGAGGAAGAAGAGGAGGGGGAAGGGGAGGAGGAAGAGGAGGAGGAAGACAGAGTGGGTGGCCCGGGTGAAGCACAGCCGAGAGGCTCTAGAGAATGAAGAGGGGAGGCCGAGACAGTTGGGGAAAGGATGGGCAGTGGGGAGTGAGCTGTGGCATTGGACAGGGGAGAGGGGCAGGAGCTTGGGGGGCTGCTGCTGGGGTCTTCTGGGAGTGGTGAAGGAACAGTGGGAAGGAGAGGAGGGGGAGGCGTGGGGGCCTGGAGCATGGGAGGGCATGGAGGATGAGAGGGAGAGGCCGATGGTGCCGGGCAGGTCGAGGATGGCAGCAAAGGCACCTCAGTGGCGGTGAGGCCAGAGCAGCCCGATTCTGCCCCAGGGGCTGGGGGAGCCGGGCCAGGCTGTGGCTCTGGGGCTTCGGCTACCTGGCAGGCATTCGGCCTTGGGCTCGTGTCCGGGGAGGGGTTTTCCGGCCCCAAGCCCGTCCCATTGTATTCATTGAGCAGAACCTTCTGCAACATGGAGGTGGTGGGCTTCTTCTTGACAGCGCCCCCTGCTGGCAGAGTCACCTCCTTGCCCTCACCATCGCTGCATGGCTTCCTCTGCATGCTGAGGTCCAGCACGGACTCCCAGGACGCCTGGGCCCGGTTCTTTCCATTCGACCGCTGCTTCACGCTGCTGGATAGGTCCAAGGGCTGCTGATTGCACACATTCCCGAAGGGGGGGCTTGGCGCCCACTCCCTGGAGACCTTGTATTCTTCTGGACTCAGCACTTCCCTCTCTTCTCTCCCAGACAGGCTCCATGTGGGGGAGTTGCTCCGTCTCTCCAGCTTGGGAGGCTTCGCACTCAGGGCCGCCTCAGTCCAAGAGGGCTTGCCCTCGCCAGCTTTGCCGGGGTCGCGAAGGCCCGGACTATGCTGCGGGGAGCTGGTGCGCCGCTTGAACCTGCTCGAGGTGGCCGGGAGGAGAGGGGAGGAGATTGCAGGGAGCCCCAGCTTTGGGATCTCCCCCGCTGGCAATGGCGGGGATGGGGCCACCTTATTGTTGTCCTGCGTCTGAAGAAGCTGCTTCAGCTTGGAGGATAAATAAACACTTTTCTCTCTGGGGAAGGGCAGGCTCTCCACGGTCGATATGGTGAGGGGAATCGTCAAGGAACACAGTGAGGTGATGGGTTCCGGATCCGTTTCCGTCTTCACCTTGGCCAGCAGTGGGGGGCTCGCTGTTCTTCTCTTTTTGGCCTCGGGGGTCCCGCCGACAGGGGGCTCCTTCGACTCCTCCACCAGATGTACTGGCACCGCCTTGATGTTGGGAGAGATCTCCACTGTCACGGGACTCAGCAGGCAGTTGATGCCGTAGACTTCAGTGGCGCTGGGCTCTACCTCAATCACCTCACAGTTGCTGGTGCTGCTATTGGACGGGATCTTGCCATCAATGTAGTAGTTGAGATTCTCTGAGATGTTGCTGGAGACGTCCATGACGTCGTCGGCCTCACCCTCTTCCTCCTCCTCTTCCTCCAGGTCTGTGCTAGCCAGGTACGTGCTGGGGGTTTGCTGGGCTGGGCACACGGAAGCCTGGGGCTCCTCTGGTTTTCTCCTGACACCTTTGGGGATGAGGTGCCGCTCGTGGACCCTCCGCTGATGCCTACGCATGTTGGTGTGGGTGCCAAAGACCTTCCTGCAGTACTGGCACGGATGCGATTCCTTGGGCTCCTTGCTCTCCTCCAAAGGCAGTGAAGGGGACGGTGTTTTGGAAGTGGCTCTCTCGGCCTCTGGGGCAGGGCCCTCCTGCCTGGCCTTGGCTTCATTCTGAATGCCCCCGTCGGCAACCAGAGGGCTGGCCCCGGGTAGCTGGGCAGAGGCCAAGGGTGAGAGCAGCTTCCGTTTGGGCCCGGCCTCATGGCGCCGCTCGTGGCGCCGACGGTTGATCTGCGTGCCGAAGGCCTTGCCACAGTAGCGGCACTTGAAGGCGTGGCTGATGGCCGAAATGTGGATGTGTACATGGCGCTCCAGGCCCTGCTTGGTGGTGAACTTCCTTTCGCAGTGTTGGCAGGGAAACATGGGCACCCCCTGGGTGCTGGGCTCCCCCCTTGTCTTGGGACATTTCCCTGAGGGCTTTTTCTTGGGGGAGCTTTCGGGGGAGTCTTCGGAGAGACTGCTTTGCTCCTCCACAGACTCCACCAGCCTGTCCCCACACACTGATCCTGATTCCACATCTGGATTTTCTTTCAATAAGCTCTCCTCGTCCTCCTCTTCCTCCTCCTGAGGCTCTTCCTCGTCTTCTTCCTCTCCCGCTTCTTCCAGTGGCTCCTGCTCTTCTTCCTCATCCTGCTCTTCCCGCCGCTCAGGATCCTCTTCTGAAACTTTTGATCCACATAGGAGGACTTCCGGCTGGTCCTCAGGTGTGGCGGGAAGCTCACAGGCCACGCTGGAGATGAGTAGGCTGGGGAGTACATCTTGATTCACCATCTCCTGGATGATGGCGGCCTGGTCAAGGGGCAACACCACGGAAACAGTTGGGGCTTCATCCTCCAGCTTTTGGCCTGAGAAATGAGGAAAACAGAGTTACCCTGAGGTCAGATGAGCAAGCCAATACATTTTACAAATGAATAAAATAGATAAAATGAAGGCAGCATCCTAGAACACTCCCTGTGTTTTGCCCCCAAAGTCTGGGGGGAATTTGCTTTTGCAAGCCACAAAGACCGTATTTTTCGGACTATAAGACACACTTTTCCATCCCAAAAAAGTGGGTGGAAATGTCTGTGCATCTTATAGAGCGAATGTTGCCGAAGCCCCGCCCACCCGGCAGCCCCAACCCTTCAGCCTCTGCCTCCCAGCAATTTGCCTTCTTGCAGCAAACAACCTGGTCAACTTTAGCACAGCCTGATTTAGCACGAGCAGCTGATTAGCAGTGGATCTGCCTCCTGGAATACCACCAATCAGCTCTTCCAGGCTGCGGGGATCACCACCGCCCATCGCCACTGTCACCTATTGCTGCCTCTGCATGCCCCATTTTCGGCCTACATGCATCCCATTTTCAGCCTCCGTGTGTCCCATTTTTGGTCCCCGCTGCCTGGAACAGGCCAAAAATGGGATGCGCAGAGGCTGAAAACAGGATGCATGGAGGTGGCAATAGGTGGCAATGGCGATGGACGATGGCAATCCCCGCAGCCTGGAACAGCTGATCGGCGGTATTCTGGGATCCCATTTTCAGCCTGGAATGGGCCAAAAACGGGACGCACGGAGGCTGAAAATAGGGCGTGGGGAGGTTGAAAATGGGAGGTGCTGAAAATAGGGCATATGGAGGCGGCAATAGGTGGCAGTGGCGATGGGTGGCGACGGTGCCAATTGGCCGAGCGATCCCTGCAGCCTGGAACAGCTAATTGGTGGTATTCCGGGAGGCAGATCCAACCGCCAATCAGCTGCTCATGCTAAATCAGGCTGTGCTGAAGCTGACCAGGCTGTTTGCTACAAGGAGGCAAATTGCTGGGAGGCAGAGGCAGATTTTTTTTCTTGATTTCCTCCCCAAAAGCTAGATGGGCCTTATAGTCCAGAACGTCTTATAGTCTGAAAAATATGGTACTTTATGTGCAATGCATTGCTCCTTTAAAGCAAAACTCACCCAATACAATTATTTAATTACAAAAATACATTTCTAGGTTCAATTCCCATAAGAGCCTGCTCTCCCCACCACCACCAAATGCAGCAGCCCATGGCCTCAACCTCCCCCCTCCCCCTTCTGAAAGGGTCCAATTTCCTCCACGTCCCCTTTTAATCCTGCGGGGCTCATACTATGGCCAAGCATTCTGGGCTGCTTGGGGTGCATTTTCTTTTCTTTCACATTTCAAAGAACGGGGTGCTTTGCAAACCTTGAGATGCTGATCCTGCCTTGTGCTTAGCGATTCTTCAACCCACCCAGCCCATTTCACACCCCTCTCCTCGGTCCCTTAAGGAGAACAGCAGGAGACAGACACCCCCTTCCTTACCTTCCTTGGTCTCCCTCATGTCGAAAGGGGTCAAATCCAGACCTTCCAAAGGAGGCTTCCGCTTTTTATCCCTGGCTTTCTTTCCTTTGTTTTTAGTCTCCTGGGGTTTTTTCTTTGCTAAGAAGGAAAGGAAGAACTTGATGTTTAAATGTAGCACTTCTTTCTGGACACTTCCCCCCTCCCCCCTCTGGCAAGCCACCAAATGTGGCCATGTTCGGTTAAGCAAGGAGGATGCCGATGCTGACTGGAGGGGCGGCTGGCAAGAGCGCAGGAGGCACTTCTCAAGGCTCTGCCGGAGCTTCTTCAGCGCTTCACCTCTGGGAGGGCAGGACACTCAGCCCCATGGACAGGAGTCTCCACACCTCCCAAACCCTGAGGGCCTCTTGTCATCCTTCAAATCTCTTTGGATAGCCATCTCCTGCTCCGGAGTAGCTGCCCAGCTGGTGAGCAAAGCACCAGGAAAGTTTGCTGGGGGTTCCTGGGCACCTCTCACTGAACCATTCCCACTTGGGCTCAGCTCTGCCAGGGGCCCAGACCCACCCAGAGGCTATGCTGAGGGCTGCCCAGCACAATGCGGCTCGTTCAAGGAACCATAATTAACCGTTCCGGGGTTCAGTGCGACGCGCAGGCTCAATCTTCCCCAGAGTTCCTAGAGCGTAGGGTAGGATGAAGGCTCTATAGCTCCCTCGACACCCTGCCCCCCCCCACCCCCGGCCCTTCAAGCAGCCATCCTGGCATTTGGCGCGGGTGACCTTAATGGAGGTTTAACCCTCACCGCGTCGATTCAGCCAGCAGCTGCTCTGCTTACTAAAAACAGCCAGGATGATAACTTGAGAGCAACTGTAACTTTAGATGCACTCAATCAGAGTCCAAGGAGCAGGCAGCAAGTCTCTCTCTCTCTCTCTTTCTTTTCCTCTCTCTCTCTTTTTCTCGTCGCAGCATCTCTAGCCGGGCTGCACAAATTGTGTCAATGTGACCACAAAGATGCAACAACAAGCATCTCCTCAGCCAGGCTAGCATCAGAAGCACTAGTTGTGACGATGAAGAAGATGGGATTGCTATGTCAACTGTGGTTCCTGCCTGCCGTGGTCCAACACTGCCCGAGGTAGAAAGAAGATACACTCTGGCCAGCCTCGTACCTTTGAGCTGGAGGAAGGCAAAAGGCCCTCCTGCCTTCCAAAAAGGCCGGTGGCTTCCGTGACTGGATACACTCACAACAGTGGCAGCCATCTTCCCCAAGTGGGCCCAGTAGCACACCTGGGGGTCCCTCCCTGTGTGCTCTCAGCAGAAGCCTTGCAGGAGGAGCCACAAGGGGGGCACGCCCCCTGCCCCCACCCGGCTGGGTCAGGTGAAGCTCCACCGGCTTGCATCTCTTGCTGTCCTGCAGAGCAGCCACTTGGACACCTCCCAGAAGCAGAGGGGAGGGGGGATGGCTTAGGGTTACCCCCTTCTCCTTTCTCCCTTCCCCTTCCAGGGGGACTCAGCAGTGCACAACCATCAGCCAAGGAGAAGCCTCAGTCCAGAGCTGTCCAGAGCCATTTGGGTCTTTCCTCTTTCCCCTTTTCCTCACTGTTCTCCTTAGCCTGGACTTTTAAAATATTGAGCGAATGACGTGGGGGAAGCTATGGAATTAATGAAGATAAGGCCACTGATTTGAAAAACTCCGCAAGCAATGAAAAAAAAAAAAAACATGTGAAAGAATTATCCATGAGTAAATTACTTTTTGATTCTCTTAAATTTTATTTCCTAATTTCTGTGAAATTCCCACATCCTTACTTGGAACCGTTCACTTCAGACTGAAGACTCAAAAAATATGGAAGAGCAGCAGAACAGGGGGTTACTTACTTACTTACTTACTTAGTGTCATTCTGGGATTCCAAAGCACTTTTTAATAAAATGATTTCAAAAGAAGAAAACCAAATTTCTGAGAAGAGCTAAACAGAGCCACCAGCCTCCCTATCTTTCCCTCCTGGGTTATGCTGCCCAAGAGAGTCAAAACCCTGCATGAAAAAGTGAACGAGAGGCAGGGCTTCCCTCTTTTTTTTCTTCCTACACAACAAAATTCCACTAAATAATGGATTTAGAAGATTTGAATTCCCTTCCAAAAAGACATTCCTCATAAAACAAGCCCTTGACTTTGACGTGTGCCACCCAGGAGGGGTGAAAGCACCAGCTGGGAGATGCCCGCACGGTTTTCTCTGGCAACTGACGCTCGGCGTTACGGTCTTTCGGCTCCCCTCCCGCCTTGTTTTGGTCTGGGGGCTTTTTTTATCAAGGCTGCCCTTTCTAAGGCCACCCATTCTGCAGTGAATCAATGAAATGAAAACCCTGACCTCGCACTCAGGTCCTAAGTTACAACAGCACAAAGGCTCCTCTGAGACCAAGTCCCACTTACTCATGAGGAAACAGGGATGGACTCAGCGTATCCCACTCAGATAAAACCATGGACTCCAGGCCAGTCACCACCGACCAGCTCTTCTGGATACGGTTATGTTAGGCTTTGTTGCATAGCTGAGTCCAGAGGAACAGAAGGCGTTCCTTCCCTTACGCTGAAACAACCACTTCACTCTTCGAATCAGCCTCCGCTTGAGCCCGATCCAGCATGGTTATCTCAAAAATCACGGAGCAGCCTGGCCTGGGTTTCAATTCACCCACCGAGGTTAGACGGGAGGCATCTGAGGCAGCCGAGAGATTCAGCTGCGTCTCTTCACAGGACGAGTCAGCCCAATCCTGCCAACTTTTACCAGCTAAATGTCGTCTATTATTTTATATTCGGCTGGGCTGTTTTGTTTCTCCTATAAAGGACCTTGAAAACTGCCTTAGAAAGACTGGGATGTTGCTAAGAAAATCCCCCCCCCCCCCCCCCCTTACCTGAAGGTCTAAGGCAGCCTCTTCAGATTCACCAGATATGGGGAAATGCAGAAGCCGCTAGGCACAGGCTTAGGCATTACAATACCGATGTGCTGGACCCCTTGTCAGAACAGCCAGCAACCCTGAGATTTCAACCACTGCACAAAACAAAGTCTGAAAATGAACGAGGACAAGGATATCTCAAGAATGTTGACTTCTGTTTCTCTATCAAGATTTAAGAAAAGTTCTTACAAAAACAATACCCTGCAGTTTCATTCTTCTTGCCTTCCCTTTTAAAATAATAATAATAATAATAATAATAATAATAATAATAATAATAATAATAAACTACACCATGTTCTCAACATTATGCCCCCCCCCTTTTTTTTTTGCACTTCCCCCATAAAGGCTTGCAATAGGATCTCTGGCAGCCTGGCGGGGCAGCCTTTCAAACCCTACAAAAAGAACCTCAGAAGAAATGTAGAAGTGATTTTCTTGAGGGCAGCACTATGAGCAGCTCCACTGTGATCACGGGACGAAAGGCCGATGATTCACTGCCCAAATTTCAACACCCTCCTGAAATGGGATCCTCACCACACAACCTGTGCAATTCCAGCCCTTGGAGTTTGCCGGGCACTGAATTCTTATTCGCACCCTGAGTCTGGGATCCTTAACAGGGCCTAGGGAAGGAGGGCCCTTTTGCTCCTGGGGAAAAATGTCAGCCCAGCTTCCCAAAAAAGCCACGAAATACCTGAAACTCTCTTCCCGTGGGCGGCATTTCCTTCTGGGCCCAGGAACCCACTCCTTGTATTAAGGGTGCCGGGAGCGAAGGGATGGGGTGGGGATGCAGCATCCTGAGGGTCCAGGGAGGGGCAGATGGGGCTGGGAAGCCAGTGGGTGGGGACGGAGCCCAGTTGGGAAGGCAAACCCAGAGGCAGCCGAACCCAGGAGCCAGCTGAACAGGAAGCAGCATCGAGTGAGTGAGCGAGCGGAGCCATTCTTGATCTCACAAGCAGGAACAGGCAGGCAGAAGGCGGAGGCGCGCGCGCACACACACACACACACAGAGACACACTCATTTCACCCCTCTCCTGCTTGGCTGTCTTTTCTTGCTGGCAGGGAGGGAGGCGGAGAGTGCCAGCCACCCAGCCCACCCAGCCAGCCAGACAGCCGGCGGAGGAGGGCAGCCGGTGTGTGTGTGTGCGGGGGGGGGGGGGGGGGGGGGGGGGGGGGGGGGGGTCAGAGGAAGAGGAGGAGGGCCTTACCTTTCTTGGCCTTGGGGGAGTTCCTCCTCTTGCTGCGGTGGTGGCTGGCCCTCTCTTCCTCCAGGGCAGCTGCTATCTCCGCGTTCTCCTCCCCATTGTACCAGACCAGGAGCTCATCCCCGGGCTCAATTGGCTGCCGAGAGGAAAGAGACAAAAGCGGGACACCAATCACACCGGAGGTTGTTCGCCAGCCGCCCACCCACGACCGGGCCGACCCACGCAGAGGCAGGAGGAGGAAGGGGGAGGAAGCAAGCGGGCGGCGGCCAGAAGGATCACGCACAGCTGCTGCCCCTGCCGCTCTCTCGGCCGCCGGGAAGAGGCTGCCTGCCGAGGAGGGCCCAGCCGGCCAAACAGGAAGGACTCTTTAACCCTGGGGGACTTGGCTTCGTCGCAAACAAGCAAGCAAGCGGGCTGGCAGGCCGTGCTGCATCAGCGTCAGAGAGGGAGGCCGAGCCAGGCGGGAGGGCTGCACCCAGCCCCTCTGCTGGAAGGAGGACCGCAGCACAAGGCTGCAATTTGCATACCGAGGAAAGCCCAAATGCTTCCCAGCTGAGTCATCCCAGCAGCAGCAGCAGGAGGAGGAGGAGGAGGAGGAGGAGGGAGCCTGGCACTTGCTTGCTTGCTTCTTCCCTTCGTCTGCCCAACTCAAGGAAGGAGCTGAACTCCTGCCCTGGCAGCTGCCTACTCTGAAAAGGCAGCCACGGATGCTGGGCCTGTCATCTAAGCCCACTGATCGCTGATCCATCTTTCAACCGACCACGGCTGGCTTGAGCCCAGTCGGCAGAGCCCAGCGCTCTAGGCAACGAACGCTCCACCTTCCCCAGGGGAGGAACTGCTGGATCAAAGGCTGCACCCCGCCCCCCGCCACTCTCAGGCTCAGAAGTCCTCCTGCCAATCAGAAGCAGCCCCAGCCCCTGCCCCCAAAAGGCTCGCAGGACCCTCTTAAAGCAAGGTCAGCCCCACCCCATCCCTCCAGCCTTTCCCCAACACAACTGACAGGACGACATCTGAGCCAGAAAATCTCCTTCCACCAGGTATAGAAGCCCAGCCTTCTATTTGGCCCCCAAAAATCAGAATGAAACAAAATTGCCCTTCAGATTGCCAGTCTGAAAACACTCAGGAAGGAAGAGAAGGCAATGGAAGAATAGTGGCTACCACTCAAATGCCATTTTTTCCACTCCAAAGCCACTTTCTTTAGTTTTCAAGATTGCCTTAAATCTGTCCATGAAATGTTTGGAAACTTTCACAGAGTTTGTAACTGTAACTATCGAGTTCGTTTTTATTTGTACGGCCTAAAAAATCTTGAAAACACGCAAATACACACACATCACTTTCAATAAGCATTCAAAAGGAAACATTAATGCCATAGTCACATTTTCCCACAAATCTGCTTATAAGCAAGCATACTATTCAAACCCACTCAGCTACTTGTTAGAGACCATGTTTGCATGAAGAAGTGAAATATTTAGATTGTTTTAATACACAAACATTGGGGCACCTGAGGTCACTGAGTGAGGAAAGCAGCATCAGCACTCCTGCAAACTAACACTTGTAAAAAGAAAAGAAATGTTGTCAGGACGGGAATTACCAAGAGGCCGAATGGTGGCTACGTGGCAGGGAAAGCGTAAAGCAGACCAAAGAGCCTGTGGCTTCATCGGACGGTTTCTGAAAATCACCCTCCGCTCCCCTTGGACCGAGAGCGCTTCTCCCCACGAGGGAAGGATTGCAGACGGCAATTTTACCAAAAGTTGTCACTTTAGAAACCAAATGAGAAACTGCAGAACTAGACGGAGGCCACAAAAATGACATCAAGGAAGTTAATTGTGCAAAGCTTGTGATTGGCAACCCCACCTTTTAAAAAGTTCCAGGTAGTCCTTGCTTACCAACTGTGTCATTCAGCGACCATTCAAAGTTATGACAGTGTTGAAAAAGTCACGTTAGGGCCAATGTGACTGGATCACTCAGTCATGTGATTGCCATCGCTTGTCAGTAGAGGTGATTGTCCTGCGCCTGACCGGTTGATTTTTACCCCCTCCCCTCCCTCCTAGCAGAGCAGAGTGATTGGAGAGGAAGGGGTTACAAGAGAGTAAGCAGGGTATTATCATGGGGAGCACACCGGATTGCCTGCATAGCATCCTCACATCTGCCAGTGTTAACACATTGCTTTCGATGGGTATCCTCACTGTGCGCCTGCTTACGCTCTTGTAATCCCTTCCTCTCCAGTGAATGTAAATAAAACATCCGTTGTTAATTAACCCAGGCCAATGAGCCTTCCAAGGTAGGGGGAATGGTTAGGAGGCCAGCAAAAGCCAAAGGTGTGAAACTGATTGTCACCTTGTCCGTTTCAAACCGGCTACCCAGAATGGAGGGGGGTGAACAAAGGCTTAGCCACGGAGCTGCTGCTAAACGGGGCTGCCTCTTCTACTGCCAAGCTAGGCCAAAGATCAGAGAAGACACTCTGCAAAAAAAAAAGGTTTCCCCAATCTAGCCGTGTTGTGATACCTGAAGCAGCTTTTGTCTGGATGCCTGTCCTTATGCCCTGACATCTGAGGCTTTTTTCAAAAGGCTGCCATTCTTGGAATCCTTTTCGGAAAAATCCCTAACATTTTTTGTTTTGACCCATCCCTCTGAAAATACACACTGGATTTTGTAGCAGAATCGGGTTTCCCAGTGAAAACCACCGGTGGCCGGGTGGGCCTTCCCCTGTTTTCATCCACATTGGGGAAATCAAAGGCACCTCTTCCTGACAGGGAACCCCCCAGCCCTCCCCCTCTGAGGCAAGAAACGTCCTTGTTTTGGGTTAAGGACAGACAGGATTCCTGAAACCTTTCATGAGATGAATGTGCCAAAGATGCAGCTTAAAAGCCTGGTCAACGATCAGAACGATCCTTTCCCTGTGAGGGAGATTCTAAAGGACAAAACTGGAGCCTGAAAAGTTTTGCAAGGCAACCGTGTTGGCCCATTAAAATCCTTTCTGACAGCCAAAGATGTGAAATGCACTTTTAAGAAAATGCTTTCTGGTGACAACATTCCCGGCTGAGGCCTCCTGGTAGGGAAGAAGACGGGAAATGCCGCCCACCAGCTGAAAAAGACTGGACCCGAGGGTGGGCTCTTCCCACCCTCCTTCAATGGAAACAGCTGTTTCTCACAGGAATTCAAGACCAGATAATCTATATCACACAGAGAGAGAGAGAGAGAGAGAGAGAGTGAGGGAGGAAGGGAGAGGGAGAGAAAAGCAACCGCTACCTTTAATGTTTTGTAGTAAATGGTCCGATTGATTTCTAACGGGAAAAGATTCTGCTCCTTTCCTGATCGAGCCCAGTTCACATAACGCAACCAGTTCCCCTTCGCCGGGTCCGTGGCGTCCACACACATCCACCCCAAGTTTGGGTAATAGACCTGCAAGTATTGCAGCAGGGGAAGATTGGAGGAGAGAGAGAGAAAGAGGGATGGTCAGAGCCTCAGCCTGGGATCAAGGAAGGGGAGAGACAGCCCCCCCCCCCGAGGACTCTTCCCCCCCCCCATTCCTTCCCTGGGCTCCCTCTTTACTCCCCTGTAGACCCTGCCCCTCCGGGAAGGGAGGGGCCGCTTTACCTCCCACATGTACACATTGCTTTTGACTTGGGACCTTTTCTTCTTGTCGCCAACGAAGGGGCCAAACTTCCTGCCTCTGAAAATGGGCTTTGTGGCCCAGACACCTGAAGACCAGAGAGAGAAAAAAGAGTGGTGAGCCCCCCATGGCCTCGGCTGGCCGACGTGGTGAAGGGGGCCGAGCCCCTGGAGCGTTATAAGGTCTTTCCTCCCTGCCAAAGCCCACAGCAAGAAAGCAGGCCCCCGTCCACGGCCTTCAGCCCACTGATCTGGAGCTCGTGGAAGGAGGGAGGAAAATGCCACAAGGCACAATAACTTTGGATAAACTGACACGGCTACAGGACGGACCACAGGAACGAGTGCTGTGACAGAAGCCCCCCACTCCAAGGCTTTCCTGGGGCTGCTGCGGGTCTCCCTGGAGACGGTCTTCCCAGGCTGTTCCTCCACTGTTCCAACCCCCCCCCCTCCGCCTGAGGGTTGCACCTGCCATCATAAAAGGTCGGGCATCCCTTGGTTGCTCTGAGAGCAACATCCTCCCGTCAGGGCCCACCGCCCACCAAGTGGATGGGACTGTGTCGATTTAATTTTAAATTAATTAAGTACAGGCTGACAATCATTCGTGAGCTCTTTAATCATTGCCCAGTCGTGTCACAGGAGGAATTACACCCGCTGGCAGAAAGAAACCCCGCCAAGGACCTGACTTGTCGTCCCCCCCCTCCCGCCCCCCGTTCCGGGCACTTGTTCTCGGCTCACCCACCAAGCCGGGCCTTGTCCACAGTGGACGGGAGGAGCCTCACTTCCTCCGGGAGCCCTTTGAGGATGTGCTGGGGGACATCAGCCAAAGTCTCAACTGATCCTGAAGGTCCGGTTGAGTTCTAGAAAGGGAACCGGAACAGAAAAGAAAAGAAGTCGGCCCAGGTGAGCACAGGAGACAGCGGCAGGAGGCCACCCACGCTGCAGCCAGCGACGCCATGCCCAGAGCCTCTCAGGCAGGCCTCTCCCTTTCGTATCGGCCCTTGAATCCCTGGCAAGGTAACCCTGGCTCTGGGTTCCCAAACAGAAAGGACACCTTCCTTTTCGCATGTTCCTCCAGCAGGAGGGGACAGATACCCCACTTCCTCCTTCCCCCCCTCCCCCATGGGGCTGTTGCAAAGAGGTTGTTACTCTGACAAGGCACACATCGGCCCCACGTCTGTGGCCCGGGCAGCTGTGTAAAAGAACAGCAATAGGGTCCTTGACCTTATATCCTCACAGTCAAATGGCTGCCCAGTCTCTTCCTGAAGACCTTCAGTGATGGCGCATCCACAACGTCCACCCATTCCACTGATTAACTGTCCTCACTGTCAGGAAATTCCTCCCAAGTTCTAGGCTGGGTCTCTCTTGGATGATCTTGCACCCTTTTTACTTCTCGTCCTGCCCTCAGGTGCTTTGGAGAATAGCCGACCGCTCTACTTTTTCTGCCTCTCTGGGCCTCATTGCCAAAACCACATCCTTGAACATTGTCTTTCAAACATGAGCTCCGTGCAAGTGTTGTAACGAATGCCAGCAGGAAGAAAAGGCGGGGATTGAGCTAAGCGGATCCTCCTGACAGTTGTCACGCTTGCATGCACCGCTCTTCCATCCCCAGCTTGGCCCACAAAGACACCTGCCGTTTAGACTCCACACATTCTCAAAAACACCTGAAATACCGCAAGTGCGGCCTTCGGATTTAATGCCACAGCTCCTGCAAGCCTCCTTCTCCAGACATGAACGTGTGCGTCCTTAAATAAACTGTATCACCCATTCAACACCAAAGCAAAATTTCAGGAGTGTATTTAAAAATGATTATGAAGTTTACCAATTAATGTAAACCAACCAGTCTACTGGCACCTGTGAGCTGGATCCCACATTCTGCTTAGCCACAATCCCTGGGTGCTAAGAACAAAGGCACATTCTGACTCAAATCATTTGTCAGTTAACAAGTGGTCTGTTCTGAGCCTGAGTCAGACACTGTGGGAAGGCGGGCAGGATTTTTTTGAGATGGTGAAGGCAGGCAATTTCTCACTTTCAGAGAAAGGAGTCTTCTTTGAAAAGGACTGTATGCCACCTGCAGGCTTCGGGAACACCTGCCTCCCTAGCAGAAGAACCTCACTGTATGTAAAGAGGAAGACGGGCCGAGACGGGCCACAAGGATCGACTACCAGGTCCCCTGAAGAAATATTTGCATCTCGCAGAGGCTGGATGGTTTTGTGAGAGTCCAACCCTTCTGTTTTTATTGTAATTTAATCTGGGGGGGTCCATTCGGAACTGTCAGGGACGCTACTTTGCCTATTCGTGTCCCAGGCAATTACATGGAAGCATCTTCAGCTGAGTAAAATGTTTTAAATTAATATAATCAATCAGCAACTAAGAATCGTGGCGCCTACTTGTTAATTAATTAACAAGTAATTAAGCTGTTAATTAAGCTGTTTTCCAAGGCTCCTCCAAGAAAGTTGTGGAGTAAGAAATTAACAGGCCTCCTTTGAATGAACCAGGATAACAGCAAAGCTGAATTGTAAGTCAGCACTTAAAAGCAAAGAAAGAAAGAACGAAAGAAGAAGGGCATTCTGGGGTATTTCAGAAGAAGCAGGCGGTATACAGACCTGGCATTACAAGTTGTCAACAAAGGGCACTGAAAAAGGAGAAAAGAAGAACACGATGTAGTTGATGCTAAACAACAGAACATATTTACTTTCTAGCTCCAGCTAAACGAACATGCTCTGAGGCCAAAGCTGGGTGCGAATGCAAAGGCAGTTCTGCCTCCCGAACGCCAAGGGGACTCTATGCCCGGTCAGGGCATTCCTGAGCTTCATAGAAAGGTCTCTGGGATTGGCTGAAGAGCGGCCGACTGGCACAGGGGGCAGAGAGGTGACACCAAGAGAGACGCAGCAGAGGCACGAAGGAAAAAAAACGGCAAGGAAGAAGGGGAGAGCGTGAAGGAAGAGGGGCCAAGAAGGGCTCCAACGCCTGGGGGAGTCTGGAAACAGGAGGGCCTTGGGGCACACCAACCTTGGGGACCCTTTGGATTTCAAGCCAGCTCCAAGTCACAGTGTGGCTTCTTCAGAAAGTTCATGCAATCACCCAGCAGCAGGCAAAGCAAAGTGACATCTCGCTGGCTTGTAAACCACCGTGAATCTTAGACGTTCCTTGTGGTTTTGTTTCATGACTGGCCAAACCTGAACAAATCTGAGCAGCTACACCTGCTGCTGGGACTAACTTTCCAAGCAGGGACAGGAGAGCTCTGTGGCGGTCACCCGGTGCTTTGCTGAAGGTAGGCTGAAGCCTGTCTGAAGTTTTACAAGGTCAAGAAAAGGGATGACCCTGCACGGTCATTGCCAGAGGCGGCTTCTTCCCTGCAGCATCCCACAGCTGCTTCCCCCCCCCCCCGGCTCCCCATGCCCAAACCCTGCCGGGGCCCGTTTATTTCTACCTTGCAGGGAAGAGTTATAAAAAGACCTTCCCTGGGTCGCTTTAAAAACATGGTACTTGCTTTCTCCCCACACCCCCACCTTCTTCTGCACAAACGTATCCTATTTTTTTGTAAGTCAGAAACGGCCACCCCAGTTACCCAAGTTGATTTGAAAGCAGCTGTTATCCCCAGAAACAAGCCTCCTACCACACAGGTCAAGCAAAAACATCAATCCGAGGACCCTGGTCAGCTATCCTTTGGGGCACGTCACTGCTCACTCCTTGAAGTGCTGGCCAACGACATGTAATCCAGCTCTTAGGTAATCCAGCTACCTTGAATTATTCCAGGGGAAGATTTCTCCCACAAGCAGTTTTAAGTAATCCAAAGGTTCCCCAATACCTGTACAGATATCACCTGGGAGACCAACACTGCCCAAACTCCCCCCAAAACCCCCATTCTCTCCACTCCCAAACTGCACCAGTGAGGCCACATGGGAGGGCAGAACCCACCCACCCCAGTTCAGAAAAGGACAGGGGGGGAAACGATAAGCTGTAGCATTCACACAAACATACACAAGTTTTCTTTTCAAAAAGAGGGAGCATCTTAGAACAGCAGTCTTTCCTTTGGTCCTCCAGACACTTGCTGGGGTATTGGGGAGGGAGGGGAGAAGTCCACAGACCGGGATTTGCAGAACAAGCAGCCTCACCACTCATCAGAGTCCTGGCAAAAGTAGCCGCACAAGAGGCAAGCAAGCGGGAGACTTAATCAAGGCTGCATTCCTAAACCGAGTGGCTGAAGGCGGCTTCCTCCAATGGAAATGAATGGCTTCCCCAGAAAGAGAGGAAGGGGCTGGATCCTCGTCACCATCTCCTTCAGGAACCTGTAGTTAAAGTCCTGAGTCCTTCGGGAGAAGGGCGGTATAGAAATTTAATAAAATAAAGAAATAAATAAAATAAATAAAGAACTGTTTTTATTGCAGGACGGTGTCTGCACTGAGGCTCACACAGACCTATTTTTTAAAATATATGCATTTTACCTCACGGGATTGACATTGTAGAAGCTCAAGGGCCTGCAGGCCGCTGTTACCTCTATCATAAAGGAAGCCTTTGTGGTCCTTGAAAAAGGGCCCATTGGAATGGATCTAGATGCAGATTAGAAGGAGTGAGCCAGCGCGTGTCTACATACAATCAAGTGAAAATCAGTCAATGCTACATTTCTAGCAGGTAGAAATAATTTTGAGAAAGTCTTACATTTTAACTCACCTGATTCATTCTGGAATCCTGACGTGCTCCGAGAAGTGAAGTAGAAAGAATCTCCTGCGATTACACGAAACCTAGAACAGAAAACAGTCGTACCTTAAGCTTCTAAATACATAATTCAAAGTAATTTTAATAAGCAATTGTAAAAGCCCATAGCCCCATTATTTCATATACACCTAATTCATTTTTTTTCAAGATCATTTGCTTATTGCTATAAAGGAATCAAACGTGCCACGGGACGATGATGATGATTATTATAATAGAGCACGATACCCTCCGTAGAGCCCGAGACAAAGTCTCTCTCTCTCTCTCTGTTTGTTTTTATTTGGTGTCTACCCTGCACTACAGGCATCCGTCGCGATAAATCCATTTGCTGCCACCACTGTCCTTACCGCAACACGCCCGCCTTGTAAGGGAGGCCATGAGGAGCTGCCCATCTCCTGAAGCCAGAGAGCAGGAGAGAGAGGCCACTTCACCAGCCACCAAGTCCCGGCAAAGGCAGAGCAGAGCATTTGGAGCCGGAGTTATTTGTTCAGCAATTCCTCCCTCCCCCCACCAAACCCTTCCTCCCTCCCTCCCTCCCTTCCCCTTCCTTCTTTCCTCTCTTCCCTTCCCCTTCCTTCCTTTCCTTCTTTCTTTCCTTCCTTCCCTTCCTTCTTTCTTTCCTTCCTTCCTTCCCTTCCCCTTCCTCCCTCCCTTCTTTCCTTCCTTCCCCCCCTTCCCTTTCCTCCTTTCTCTCTCTCTCTCTCTCTCTATCCCTACCTCCCTCCAGTGGCTCTTATTCCGGGGGGCGCTGCCCCCTCCCCCCGCGCCGGAGTCCTCCCTGCCACGGGGTCTCTCCCTCTGGGGGTGGGGAGGAGGGGGGAGGGGCTGCGAAGGCGATGGGGTCCGCCGTGCCCTCCCCCCACCCCCCCCCAAGGCCTCCCTCCGGCCCGGGCTGGGAGTTCTCTCTCTCTCTCTCTCTCTCTCTCTCTCTCAGCCGCTCCCCCGGGGGCCCCCTGGCAGCGCAGCCCCCGAGGCCGCCCCGCCTGCACCCCCCCCCCGCCCGCGGGACTCGGAGGGAGCAGCTGAGCCTCCCCCCCCCCGGCCAGAGCCCCCCTCCCCTCCCGCAGGGATCCCCTCCCCGGGGAGGCCCCTCCAGGCCCGCGGGGGGGAGGGGAGAGGAGTGGGGGGGGCGGGGCGCTCACCTGCGCGGCTCTCCCGGCCCCGGCCGGCCCCTCCGGTCGCCATCTTGGCCGCCACGGTCCGGAAGTGACGTCGGCGCCGGGGCATGGATAAGTCCCTCCCTCCTCTCCCGCCTCACGACGCCCCCGCGAGGATGGACGGCGCCGGTGAGTCCCCCGCGACCCTCCCCCCACTTAAGCCCCCCCTCTCTTCTCCGCCTCTGTTTCGCCCCCTGAGCTCGGCCCGGCCCACCTCGCGGGGTTGTTGTGGGGTAGGACGGCCCCTCATGGGGGGGCAGCCTTTGTCCCACTCTCCTCCTCCCCCCACCCCCGGAGGCCCCTCCCTCCCTCCCTCCCCGGGAGCCCTGGCACCTCCCTCCCCTCCCCTCCCCTCCCCTCCCCCTCCCCCTCTCCTCTGAGTTGGCGCTCCCCCACCCGCCCCCTCCTCCCCCCGCCTCTGGTGCCTTCCCTGCTTATTTGTATCCATTTGCCTTTGATACATTTGTATTGTGGCATTTGATAAGATTATATCCGTTGGTTCTGTGCAGGATGGATACTTGTTTGTTTATTTGTTTATTTCTATCTGGTCTTTTATCATTTTTCATAAATAACTCGAAGCTGCGAAGAGACTCGCCCCTTCCTCCTCCTCCTCCTCCTCCTCTTTTGCCCCCCCCACCCACCACCACCGCAGCCCTGTGAGGCGGGCTCAGCGAGAGGAGCTGGCCCGGAGTCACCCAGCCGGCTTTCCTCCGTAAGGCGGGAGAGAGACGCTGCTTTTTTTAGAGGGGTGCCTATTTGCCCCCTTAATCTACCTCATTGCCCCTTCTCCCGTTTCCCACCCCAGGGGACCGAGAAGAGGATCTGGCCGTCTTCCTTGTCCAGGACCTTCATTTCTCTTGGATGTGGGGGGGGGCGCGTGGCCGGGGCCCCCCAGGGGCTTCCTTGGACCCTCCCAGCGTCCCCATGGCTAGAGCGCCCGGGGTCTCAAAGGGTGTCGTTATTATCCCTAGAGGAGCCATCAATCTGTCGCCCATCTCGGGTTTGGCTACTTGAAGTTCCCACAGACAGATTTTCAGCAACAGGAAGAAAATTGCTGATCTTAGTCTGCTCCTGCCGTGACTTTATTGCTCAGGTGAGGCCTGTCAGCTGCCGTTGCAACGCCAGTTTTGCCCAAAGTTTGTTCTTTCATTTTGCAAATTAGGATTTCTAATTCAGCAATTGTACATCCTTACACACACACACACACACACACACCAACTAGGCCGCCCCTGGATGAAGTTCTGCAATTTGTGATATTTTGGAGTAAATTGCATCGAACTGGTCATTGAGAGGAGAGAAATGTATATAGATCGAACCCAAACCGGGATAGGATGGAAGGAGGCCGGAGAAGAAAGTGTCCGCTCCTCAGTTGCTGACAGCTGCATCCTCAGGGGAGGAGGGGATGGGGGATGGGGTTCATCTCCCTCCGAGATGATGAAATAAAGAGCGAGGGGACATGAAGTGGGAGAAACATACCAAAGCGTTTCAAAAATATGTTTTTGGACAGAGTGGGAGATAACAGGAAACGTGTGATTTGAATCAAAGCCCAGACCGTAGTTCCAGGGCTGCCAGATGGTGACACTGTTTTCCTATTTACCATTCCTGTGGGCTGCTGCATTACGTCCAGATCCCATCTTTCAGTGGGAGCCCCAGTCGTCCCCCTCCCCGCCTTTATTGTCTGCCCTCCCTTCCTGGCAGAACTAACCCGGATGCCTCTGCCAAAGGCACTTAACCTGCCTGCAGGATCTAATCCGTTTTCCTGGCGTAACTGGAAAGGGAAGGTTCACACCAAGGGTGAAATCCTACCAGTTTGGACTGGTTCCGGCGAACCTCTAGGGATTATTGGCATCAGTTCGCTGAACCGGTAGTAATCACCCCTCGTTGGCCCCACCCACGGCCGGCCAGTTGCCGCTCAGCTCTCGATTTTCCACAGAATTCAATGTTAAATGCAGCAGAGAGAATGCTGACTTTTCTCCCCCCATTCAGAACAGAGCTGCTGCAGCCTGTCCCTTTTAAGGTAGTCCTCAGGAGGGAGGGGGATGGGGGGGAGCCGCTGGAATGGAGCCATTTTTGTGAAAGGCAGGAAAATGGGGAAGGGGATTTTCCTGCCTGTCATCCATTCCTCAATCTCAGCACAGACTGAGGGAAGGATGGTAGGCAGGAATATTCCCCTCCCCATTTTCCTGCCATTTGCAACAAGGAGTGGCTGGGAGGGGAGGGGCCAGTGAGGAGCCCCTCGATGTGAGTGATGTCGAATTGGCCATGCCCACCCAATCACATGACCTCCCTCCAACAAGCCACGCCCACGGAACTGGTAGGGGATTTTTTTTAATTTCACCACTGGTTCACACACCCATGTTAAATCACACCAGAGCTCACTCAGGTTAACACTGAGCTGTGTATTGTACAGGAACAGCTGCCCACTGAAGGCTCACTCTGATGCCTTGAAAGATTAACCAGGTTATCTAGGGATCACAGTCCACTCCGCTGGATGCCTGGAATCGGTTTCTGGCAAGAAGTGCAAATTTTTTTTGCCTTTGCCGGGGAGATTTCTCAGGGCGAGGAGGCCAGCTGTGTGCCCAAAGGATCGGGACAATAGGTCCCCTTGGGGATTCTGCATGGACGTCTGTCCCACAAGAAATGCTGTTGATGAATCTGGACTTAAGGAGAAACTGAATCCAAGACAGCTGAGCAGAAAAGCAGTGAAAATGTTTGAATGGGGACAACTTTTCTGTGAATTTTTCTAATCCCCTCAATTGCTTTTAAGACAATGTCACAAATGGACGTCATTTGGCATGCTTCTCACCTACACAACGTTAGCTGTTCCATTGTCTCAGGTGCTTTTTTCCATCTTGCATTTGGGACCCAGTTACAGTACATCCCCAGGTTTTCCAAAAACTGCCTTTGGAAGGGGCTGCGTCCCAGACCTTTCCAAATGAGATTTATGCCAGTTGCCGCCCACTGGTTGGCTCATTGCATTTTCACGGGCATGCGTGCAGCAGCCACCGCTTTGTCTGACCAGGGTGGCCTCCTCTCAGAGCCATTTCTACAAAGTGGGAGGACTGAATTATGCACACAGCGCCAATTCTGGGTCTGCAGAATTATCCCCCTTTCTACATGGGAAAAATGAGAAGCGTTGGAGGCAGAGTTGATGGTTGCACACCGGAGTTTGCTTTTTCCTTCTTCCCCTTGTCTCACCGAGATCTTCCAAATACCCCTGCCCTCTTCTAAGTAATGTGATGGGGAAGGTTGCAAGGGGCGCTTGGGTTGCACCAGGACTCCCCCAGCAGAAAGGAAGCAGTGGAGAGAGCCTACCAGCACCTCCCCCCCCAAGTTCTTCGCCATCTCCAATGCTGGGTAACCAAAATGTGCGCTTCTCGCTTTGTGGCAGCCATAACATCGGGAGCTCAGTTATAACTCACTGGCCAGCCCTGATTCTTTGCAATTGAGAAGAAAGTGGCCTCTTTAGGCAAGGAAGAGATGCAACTGAGTCAAGGGCCGCACTTGGAGTGGTGGTGTGTCTTTTTGGGTTTGAAATTCTCGAAGGGCGGGATGTCCAGGTGGCTGAAGTGCGTCCCAGGTGTTTGTACGAGAGGCACTCCGATCTCTTGCCCAAACGGCAGCAGACGGGTTGAAGAGCAATCCCAAACAACGAGAACCGAGAGAGGAGAACATGGCGTGCGGGGGCCCATCTCGCTCTAGGAGTCCTGCAATGTGTCACTTGGGTATTATCTGTAAACAGGATCAAAAAGATAAACAGCTGGGCTTTTTGTTGTTGTTGTTGTTGTTGAAAAGACCTTTCTCCTTTTTCCTTGGCAGTGGGCTTGACTGGGCAAAGTTCTTCCTTGTGAGGAAACCCTATGGAATCTCTAATCAGCTAATCAAACATCCAGTCTCTCTTCCCAAGGACCAGAGTCTGGGGCTAATGCAAGAGGTTTCCCCTGAAATCAAAGTGGTTTTACGAAGCAAAGGTTCACCGTCTTCAGTGAGGTTTAAGGCCTGGAAAAAAAAAAAAGAAGGAGGGAAGAGAGGGGAAAAAAAACCCAGGCTGTGCTCAGAATTATGTTTTTAGGAGTATGGCACTTAGTCCTTTCCTTCCTCTTTTTCCTGCAACATCCCTGTGAGTAGGTCTGGCTGGAAGGAAAGGACCGACCCAAAGTCTCTTCTGAATTTGAAGCCACAATTAAAATCAACCTTTTAAAGGCTTTTTTTTTTTTTTTTTTAGTGTTTAGCACGTGCCGTTTAGTGCAGTGGTGAAATCCAAATTTTTTTACTATTGGTTCTGTGGGTGTGGCTTGGTGGGCATGGCAGGGGAAGGTTACTGCAAAATCTCCTTTCCCACTCCAGTCCAAGGGAACGATACTGCAAAATCCTCATTCCCTCCCCAATCCTGGGGGAAGGATATTGCAAAATCTCATTACCACCCCACTCTGAGGCTAGCCAAAGGTGGCATTTGCCGGTTCTCTGAACTACTCAAAATTTCGGCTACCGGTTCTCCAGAACTGTCAGAACCTGCTGGATTTCACCCCTGGTTTAGTGTCATCAAGGCTGGATTCCAGTGCAAACTTCGTCAGTTTTCCACTATTCCAGCAGGCAGTTTTTTTTCTGTGTTGGGGGGGAGAGGGGAGTTGAGAGCCAGCTGTTGGGCTCCAAGAAGTGCGGGGGGGGGAACGGGGACAAGGAGCAGATGAGGCTGTTGGAAACACCATTGCCAGTCCCTCTTGCAGCTTGTAGAAGGAGGGCTCAGAAATGGCAATCCAGGAAATCTTAAATTGCCCTGGCTCCCTTTGCAAGGGGGAAATAAACAGGGGAAAGAGAGTCCAAGAGGAGATTTTAGCATATAAAACAAATGTCTGTTTGTTTTCATCCCAGGTGGCTGAGGGAGCTGAGAAGGAAGAAGAGCCAAACCACAGGTGGCCACTGAGAAGGGGAGGAGAAGAGGGTCTTCCATCCCACGGAGATGTTTAAGTTGAAATCTTAAGCTGCTTCTCGGACAACTCCCTCCCCCCCCCACACACATGAGTTTGGCAGAACTGAGCCAGGGGACCATCGGGCACCCCAATCCCCTCCCAGCTGAGCACTTACGAGTACCTGCCCGACATTTTCTTTGCGAGGACGATCACGATCCCTGTGGCCACTCCAATAGCTGCAATGGTGCCCAGGATGATGCCAACCAGGGTGACTGTTTCCAGGGGGTCTGAGGGGGAAAGCAGAGAGACCAGCAGTGTCACCTGGAAGAAGCGTGGCTACTGTGCGGGCCAAGGCCGGGTCTGCTTGGAAGTGAGGCCATTCATCCCCATCGCCTGGCAGTTCACAAGGTAAGCTCTTGCTGCTGCTGCTGCTGCTTTTTAAAAGTTCCTGTGGGGATGTTAGTGCAGGCTTTTTTTCTGAAGAAAAACGGTCCTTTCTGCATGCGTGGGCAACATTGCGCTTGAGTTCCCCCATGAGGGCTATCAATGCAAGAAGAAGCTGCATGGGCTGGCTTGGTGGCCTTGGTGCTTAGGGGCCTGTCTGTCCTGCTGGCTCCTGTTGTGTGGCATACTTAAAGTTAATACAGTAAACGCCACGGTCAGTGGGGGACCCCTCTGCGCCTGCTCTTGGGCCTGGCGGAGGTTGAGATCCAGACTTCTACGGTCTGAAAGATCAGCAGGAAGCGACCCCCACTCGTCTGAACTCAGCAGACCGCCATCAATTGTGTTGTTCTATTGTTGCCTCCTCCCTGCGTGTGTCTGTGCCTGCCTGGTGCCTTTGCCCTTCTGGACTTGGCATTGTTCATTCCCCTTTGCGTGTCGCAGGCTGCGGTGGCTTTTTGTCCGAATGGAGACCCTGAGTGTATTAACAAATCTAAAACTGCACTGCTGGGCCTGCTAAGCTTAGGGGGGTGGTGGTGCATGGGTGTGTTTGGGCTATTGCCTGTGTTTTTGCTGCAGTGGTGTGTTTGCATGTATTGCCTTCTGACCTGCTTGCTGCAGTTCCACTTTCCACTGTGCCCAAAGAGCTCAAAGAAACCTGGATTTGCCAGGGAAGGTGTGTGGGCGACCCTGCCCTAACCGTTCCTTACGTCTTCCCCCAAGTTCCCCAGGGTGACGTATGGGCCGGTGAGCAGGGCTTCTGGGTAGTGGCTGCTAGATCTTGAAATGCGTTGCCTCCACTCCCTTCACGCCCCTTAAGAGCCTGAAAACCATTCCGTCGGGGCCTTTCCTGAAAGAGGGAGATCTCAGAAAGGAGAAGGAAAGTGATGCCTTTGGCTCTCCTGCTAGATGGAACACACCAGAGAGGGAGAGAGAGGGGCATAAATTTATTTATTTATTTATTTTATTAGGCTTATATGCCGCCCTATCTCCAAAGGACTCAGGGCGGCACACAACAATAAAACCACAATAATCCATCATGCAAAGTTAAAATGCCTAATTAGATCAAATACTATTAAAAACCCGTAAAAAAACCCATCAGTCCAGGCCGGGGGCCTCGAATAACCAAGTTTTTAATTCGCAGCGAAAGGTGCGAAGATCAGGGGCCAATTGGAGCCCCAAGGGGAGTTGATTCCAGAGGGTGGGCGTGCCAACAGAGAAGGCTCTACCCCTGGGGACCGCCAGCTGACATTGTCTTGCCGATGGCACCCTGAGCAGGCCCTCCCTATGGGCGCGAACCGGGCGATGGGATGTTGTTGCTGGCTGCAGGTGGTCTGCCAAATATCCTGGGCCTAAGCCATGTAGGGCTTTATAGGTCATCACCAGCACCTTGAATCTCACCCGGAGGGCAACCAGCAACCAATGCAGGTTGCGCAGGAGGGGTGTTACATGGGAGTATCTGGATTCTCCCATCACAACCCGCGCGGCCGCATTTTGCACCAGCTGAAGCCTCCGAGTGGTCCTCAAGGGCAGCCCCATGTAGAGAGCGTTACAGTAGTCAATACGGGAGGTGACTAGCGCATGAGTAACTGTGTGTAGGGCATCCCAGTCCAAGTAGGGGCGTACCAGACGAATCTGGGCGTATGCCCCCCTGGTCACGGTCGTTATATGATCTTCTAAACTCAACTGTGAATCCAGGAGGACACCCAAGTTGCGTGCCCTGTCTACAGGGGGTAAAACTTCACCCCCTATAGACAGCGATGGAACCTCTCCTGTGGACCGAGATGCCGGTACCCACAGCCACTCGGTCTTGGCCGGATTGAGTCGAAGTCTATTCCTTTCCAGCCAGACCCATACCGCTTCCAGGCACCGGGCCATCACGTCGAGGGCATCACTGGGCTGGTTCGGGGTGGGTAAATGGGTAGGAGACTAATGAAAATGACGGACCAGTTCGGAGCTTTGTCGGGCTGGGGCTGGGTTTGTTCACAAATTAGCTTGTTAAATCCTCCAAAGGTAATTTCTCACAACAGCGCTGTGCATGACCTGGTATGGATGACTAAATCCCCCTTGCTTGTGGTCTGCCAGCAGCCTGCAGAGCTGGCAGCGGAGTTGGACAGTGAGGAGGCTGGGGAGGACAATGGGCCAGTCCTGGAGTCTGGGAAAGGCCTGGATGAGGGCTCTGCGTCAGAGGCAGAGATGGGGCCAGGACCATCTGGGTGAGAGGCATGGACTCCGGAGCCTCCAGAGGCTGATAGAGAGGCAGAGGAACAGGAGGAGCCTTTTCCTAGTGCACGCATGCGAAGAGCTGGCAGAAGGCAAGAGCAGCTAAAGCAAAAAGGATGACTCGGAAGTAAAGCCAGGAGATGATTGGCCCCTCCCAGAAGGCTTAAAAGAGCAGCAACTGCTCTTGGGATCTTGGTAGGAAAGCAACGTTGCTACATTTGTTTCTTGTTGGCATCTCTTGCTTCTGAACTTCGTGGGGCTTTGCCAAGAAAAGCTTTTGACAGGGTGCCAAAGATGACATAGGTTTGTGATAAGGATTTTTTCTGAAGGACTTGTTTTGGAATTAATTTGGACTAAGCTGAGAATGAAGTAATTCTCAGCTGTTATAATAAAATATGTTTGTTTAGGACTGTGTGTGTCTGATAATAACTACTTGGGCCTAGGTCACAACACCTCTGAAGTCCAAAGGCTTTGCGCAACCTTTTACTCTGTCAATTTCATCAATTTTTGGGGGGGCGGAGGGGCGGGCGGTGTTTCACCTGTTTTTATTTTTAAATAAAGAAAATAAAGTTACTGATATTATAGATAGGTATACATATTCTTGCTTAGAAATGGGAGTTTGGAGAATCTGCCTTCTTTGCTGGCTCCAAGTCCCGGTGGATCCTTCTGCCTTTAACATAAGGAGCCGGAGATTTATTTATCGGGAGCAGTTTGCTCACTTTGAGCCTCTTTTCTGCTTTTGACTGCAACTTTGGGGCCATAAAATGTTTCACCGACAAGTTTATAACCTCTTGTATAAATAGTTCTATGTGAGGCCTTCCATTGCTTATCTGGTGCAATAGCAGGCTACAGGAGGCTTTTATAGAAGGAAGCCCAGTCAAGCATTCTATTGCAAATACCACATTATTAGTTAGCTAAGGTTCATGAGATTATACTATTGTTATATTCTCTCATCCTCAAAGATGAGAAAGTAGCCTCCTTTTGGAAACCACGAGTTGCAAACTTCCTACTTAGAAACCCCACAGCAAGATCTGTAAGTTTAGCCCTTCGGATAAGAGTTGTGCCCCTTTGGTGAGAGTCCTGAGCTTTTCCAAAGGGTGTTCTCTGCCCATCTTCAGGGAAGGAGGGGAAGGAGGAGGAGGAGGAGGAGGCCCGGCCCTTTGGCTGACCTCTAATAGAAAACCAGCTGTGCCTGGAAAAATCCAGTCAACTTTTTACTAAGATCCACACCCTTTCTTCTTGGCATAAGCTCTTAAAAAAATATGCAAAAATACCACTTTAACCAATTGAAATAATTCGAGAAAGCTAGCTTTTCTCAATTGCCTCTCAAACCCAGACCCAGACCGTTCATCCTAGAACAATTCATGGTGCTTATTTATTAAGCGGGTTCCTGGGACGGGACAGGGGGGTTGCTTTGACTTCCTTTGGATGGCTGTGGGGTGCTGCCTTAAGTCTGTTGCAGTGGTGGGTTGCTAGCGGTTCGCCCCGAATTGGGCATACAGGTAGCGGTGGCGGGAGGCTCCGCCCACCCACCCACCTGGACGCCTCTGCGCATGCACACCCACGAGCGAACCGGTAGCGAATGAAATTGAAACCCACGACTGGTCTGTTGGCTGTCCCCTCTTCAGTCAGGGGCTGCCTTGCTGGGTCACGGCCTTAAAGAATCGAGGAGGGGGAGGGGGAGGAGGAGGGAGGGGGGAGGGAGGAGAAAAAGGAAGCTACATCAGGGAACCAGAGCAGACGCTGCTGGTTTTCTGTTTCCGGAGGGGAGCAGCGCTGGTTAGGGTGGCACCAGGTTCACGTAAGGATTGTGGTAATCCAAGAAAGCAACTTGATCATCTCTTAGCGCATTCCTTGAGATTCAGCCCATGCCCTCATTCTGGTTTCTATAGGCAGACCACTTTTGACCTCGGTGCCAGAGCTGGCACAGGACCGGCTTGCCCCAAGGACGGGGCGGAGGAAGGCCGGCTAATCTGGGCGTTACCTGATCTGGCCTGTTCATTATGTAACCCTTAACTCGGGTCGGCTTGTCAACAGGATCTCACAGAGCATCAGCAAGAGAGGCTATTGGTGGCAGGTGGCTTCTTCTTCTTCTTCTTTTTAAAGAAAAATAATGTTTTCAAGTCCTATGAATCCCCACAATGACCCCCACATGCAGACCCACCCCTTACCCTCAGAGGTTGTGGGCGGCTCTGCGTCCGTTGTGTTCTCCCCAAGGTCGCTGGAAGACGTGATGCTGTCCGTGGTCATCAGTTCCTGGAAGAGACAGCTGTCTGTTAACGTGGCCACAGTGGAGGCGGGGGTGGCCTCGGTGGCTTATTTATTTTACAGCCTAGCCCAAATCAAGAGGGTTGCAGCAGATTAAAATTATTGGCAGCAACCATCATAAATCAACCTTCCCCCAGGATAGACCCCCCCCGTGACAGATCTGGGGATCTAAAACCGTCTTTGGTGATCTTCAAAAGAGCCGTGAGGGAGGGGGCTTCACAGGCGCAGAGGCCACCGCGGTCTTGCCCAGGTCCATAAAGTCAGGGGAAGGAGGGGCTTTTAATGGGCTTGTTACCAGATGGGCGGATGCCGCAGAAGATTAAATAAATTTAATCGGTTACTTTCGTGGTGTGGAGACAATAACTTGGTCCTTAACACCAATAAGACCAAGGAGCTTAGAGTGGACCATAGAAGGAATAGACCAGACATCCAACCCTTGCTTATCAATGGAGACCGAGTGGAGCAAGTGGCCAGTTTTAAGTTTCTGGGTGTTATTATAAAAGAGGACCTGACGAGGGGTGCTCATATTGAAGCACTGGTCAAAAGGGCCCAGCAGAGATTATACTACCTGAGACTTCTCAGGAAACAACAACTGAATGAAAAACTGCTGGTGGCTTCTACCGCTGCACCATAGAGAGTATTTTAACTTACTGCATCTGTGTCTGGTTTGCCAATTGCACAGTGGCAGATAGGACAGCACTCCAGAGGGTCAATGTCATTGCCCAGAGGATCATGGGTTGCCCTCTCCCCTCTTTGGAAGAGCTTTATAGTTCCCGCTGCCTTCAGAAAGTTCAAAACATTCTTAAAGATCCATCTCATCCTGGGCACCCTTTTTTTTTTTTTTGGAACTATTACCGTCTGGCAGACAGTACAGGATAATAAAAAGAAGGACAAATAGGCTGAAAAACAGCTTCTATCCCAGGGCAGTAACTATATTGAATTCTACGGTATAGTGCAATATCGGGTTTTCAATTTCGATTATATAGAATGTAGAGGATGTATGTTTGTGTTTTTATTTTTATAGTTACAATGTACACTGAAGACGGCATTTAATTTCATTGTACCATGTGCAATGACAATAAAGTAAACTAAAGTAAACTAAATAATAAATCCAGGATGTATCTGCAGTTGTTGAGTGAATTTGGCTTCCCCTCTTGACTTTGCTTGTTGGCAGCCAGTTGGGCGACCGCCAAGCCCCTGAATTCCCATCACGTGACCGTGGGGAGGTTGCAGGTGTGACAACCCCAGTGCCCTTGTAACGAAACGAGTGGGCGACCTGACGTGGTGCCATGGCCGATCGACAGCAAGGCCCCGGAGTGCTGGGCTGGCCACTGGGGAAGCCTTTGCATGGAGTGAGTGGCGGGTCTCCTGAGGGACCTCTGCCAAGAGGAGAGGGAGGGGCTTGCTCTCCAAGGGAGGGAGCCCTGGTGGAGTTTGTGCCCCCTGCCCACCTCACCCGCTGTTACTGCTGCCACTGGATGGGCGAGCAGGCCCAGGCTGTGCCAAAGGGGAGGGGAACTCACCAGAGTGGGCACTTCGGAATAGTCTGGACCCTCGCTGGCTCCCAGAAGGGCTGTGGCCAGTTCCTCCTCCTCCTCCTCCGCTGGTGCTGTGCTTGCTGAAGGGGAGACAAGAGGGGTGGGTGGGTGGGTGGGTGGGCAGGACAGGCGACAGGCCCTTTCATGCCCTGTAGGGGCTGTGGGTCCCTTGCCCAGGGAGGAGCCTCTCCCAGTGTGCTTTTTTTTCTCCCTAGTGCAGCCATGCGGCCTGGGGGGGGTGGGGGGGCGGAGCAGGGGGTGGCTTTAGGGCTGTCACAAGCAGCGGGCCCCGTGCAACCCAGAAGCCAAGCTTTGGGGAGAGGCTTCCCTGAAGCAGCCCTGCCTCTTTTCACAGCGCTTGGCAGGGAGAGGCTGTGCCAGGCACACCCTTCCCATTGTTTCTGAAGGGGGCCCCAGTCCTGAGAGATGCCTCTTCCCCCGTCTGGCGTTCCTCTTCTTCCTGGCTGTTTTTGCAGGAGGAGTGAGGGATGGCCCTGGGAGCGGGCATTTCCGAGAGAAGACCTAAAAGGAACCGGCTACTTTGTTTGACAGGCAGTGCATTTTAATTAGTAGCTAATTGGCAGTTTCATATTATATATCGTGTGTCGCAGGCATGGAGCCTTTTCTTGGAGGGCTCCTCTTGTGCCCTGAGGCCAGAGCAGGTGAGCCTCGGCCTGGGCTGCCCTCGGAGCTCCTGTGGCTTCCCGGATTTTCTCAGAGGAAGGCGTCCCTGCCCAGCTGTCATCGCTTGGCCCCAGCCAGACGGGGAGCCAGTTTCCCGGCCTCTCTTTGGGAAGCAAAGGTGACCCAGCAGAGCAGCCTTGAGGGGGGGGGCTCCCTGGTGCAGGGGGGCTTCGGGACAGGCAGCGCTCATCAGGCCCAGCCCCAACTTGCCCATCTAGCTGGAGGTTTAAAAGATGGAAACAGCCAGGGAAGGAAGTGGCTTTTAAAATGATCCTTTTTCACTGTCGGCAGAGCCCCAGGCTTGGTGAGGAAGCTTTTCTCTGAGTGAGTTGGAGAACTTGCAGACTAATTCGGCCCTGGCACTACCACACAGGGCAATTTGTGGCGTGGCCAGCTGGATCCTGAAGGTCCCCCCCTCCCCCCGGCTGATGTGATGCAGATTAATTTCTGTCATAAGACTAATTCTTTTTCTCTGGAAAACAGATGCAGAGGTGGGTGACTCACTAACCTCCGCAGTGCCAGAAACTGACCGAGCACATTCCTTCTCTCAGCCTCCTGCCAAGGAGCGTCTCTGCCTCGTCAGGGACTGGCCTGCAACTAATGACCTGACCTTTAAGAAGGACGGGCCTTGGGCCTTACGCACAGAGCGGAGTCAAACTTCGTCTTAGGACTGGAGTTGGTGGGGAGGAAGGCAAAGTTCACATGTTAAAAAGCACCAAGTTTTCCAGGTTCATGATAGCAGCTGCCACCGAGACCCCTTCGGATCTGGTTGCATAAGGATAACCCACGTTGGCGCCTGGGACCGAATCGGAGTGGAAGCCACTTTTTCTATAATCACCAAAGCGCCCAGTTGCTCCCCTGGTTCAGCAGAATTAATTCACCCAGTTTTCTGGACTTGCCAACTCATGGTGGTAGAAGCTGACTTCCTGAGGTTGGCACAAGACACGGCCACGTGGTCTGCAATCACAGCGGTCCGAAGACTCCAGAAGTGACCAAACACCACTGGGCAGTTTTCTGAACCCAAAGCCTGAATATGCAGCGTCCCCAACATTTGGTGGCAAAACGGACGATGTGTGGCTGGCATCATTACCCTTCAGATGCGAACTTTACACACTCGGCTTCTGACTTCGGATGATAAGTTGCAACCTCATCCTCCCTGCAGACCCCCACCCCCCCACCCCTGTCGCAGGACCACTGAAGCTGAGTCCTAGAGGCTGACTGACCCATTGCTTACGTATGTCCTGCAGGCCCAGCCGATGCCAGTGGAACTTCCTAGCTGTTTACAGGCACAGGAGCTGTTTGGATAGCTTAGGGTGACTTGCAGGGGGTCTCATTCTTCCTCAGCAAAAAGCTTCCCTGGGACCGTGGGGAGAGAGAGTTCCAGCTGTGGCCAAGGATGGGCCTGAACCCGGGGCTGCCCCATCCTGTCAAACGGAACCTTTGCTGGGATCACGGAGCACCAGAGAGCCCTTGATGGACATGGGAATTTGCTGAGCTGCTTTGTTCGCAGAGCCAGCCTGCCTCAGAATGAACTCACACAACCCGTAGTCTCATAAACAGACCCACAACCTGGTGCATCGTGAATCTGGGAGGTGGTTTGAGGTGGGGGCTAGCAGAAGCCCAACCTCTCAGCGTTGCCTTCCAGAGACGCCCTCTGGCTGCCCCAACAACCTCCTCCGCCCGAACCAAGGCTTCCAGAACCTCTGAAGGGAGAAACTCCCAGGCCACTTCGGGGTGTGCGTGCCGGAGCCGAGTCTCTCCTTTGAGTGGAAGAACCTCATGCAGGCTTAGAAACCCCAGCCTCTGCATTCACATCTTGGGCATCACCACAACAGACCAGCTACGTTATGCCTCAGGGCAATGTGTGAACCCCACCAAAACGTGCGGGATGGATGAATCGTGACAATTTAGGAGAAAAACGTTTTGAAGCATAGAAGTTGTGTGTTTGTGTGTAACATTTCTGCAGGCATCTGCTGAAATGCTTGGTTAATGCCAGAGGTGCCTGGCTGGCATGGGCAGCATTATCCGTTTGGGGTCCTGCCCCCACCCACTCCTGCCCTCTGGGGCAAGTGCCAGTCTGCCATCTGCGAGAGCTTTTCAGGCCTTCCCTTGGCCAGAGCCAGTGGGGGCACCTGGCTGGCCCTGGCAGGTCTTCAGCTGAGTCAAACCTGGCTGGCGCTTGGAAGGGGAACACACGGGAAAACTACAGGCACGAGAGCCCCTGTCCCTGTCTTTCAGCCCATCCCACCTCACAAGGCTGTTGTTGTAGGGAAAATAGGAGGAAGGAGGAAGAGGTATTTTTGCCACCTTGATTTATTTATAAAAATAAGAAAGGGATTTTTGTAAAACAAATATATCTAAAAAATAAAATGCATCAGCAGAAAAAAAGAGACTGCAAAGGCCACCCCCCCCTCCCCAAGGAGAGGGCTTGAAGGGTGTTCAGCAGCTGTCAGCCCCACCAGGGAGGAGCCCCCCTTCCTGCCCTATCTCGGTCTTTTGCCTTGCAGTGGTTGCCGCTTTTCTCAAAGGGAGGCTAAAGGGGGCTTTCCACTGCCTCTGTGTTTTACGGGCAGCGACGCATATAAAACGTGTGTGTGGGGGGGTGGGGGTGGTCTGGGGGAGCGTAGCACAGCTGTCTCTGCTTTGTCCTGTCTCTGAAATGGCCAGGCCAGGCGGCTGAGTCCGTTCCTCTCCCCCACTGGTCTGGCTACAGGAAAGAGGTTTCCAAAAAATGAAAATTCTTTTATGGGGGATGAAGGCAACATTGTTCTTCCAAAACCTCCCTCTTTGCTTGCTTGCCCATTCCCCCTTTCTTTCTCCCACAAACGAGAAAGGCAGGTGAGGGGGGGGCTCTCCCTGTTCTGGGGTCTTTAGAGAGGGAAGAACTTTAGGGGCCTCTGCAGAAAAGCAGGGCATTTCACCGCCTACACTCGCTTGCTTGACGGAGCCCTCAGGAGACGGTCACAAAGCAAAACTTCTACGTGCAACTCTTTCCCTGACTAAACTCTACGTCGCTGGGACACTTACTCCATTTGGGCTTCTTTAAAAACTCGCATTTACAATTTGAATCTATAACGCTTAGCAGCTCTGAACGTTCATGGAGGGATGAACTAAAATAAACATACGTTTTGCCCAAAACACTGAATTTCCCCAGCCAGAACCATGCCTCTGCACTGTTCTTACCTTCCGTGGCAAAGATGCAGATGGTCACTCTGGCCACGAGGAAAACTAGGAGCCGTATTTTAAGGGTCATTTTGGGATTCTTGTTCCAAAAGAAGCGAAGAAACAGGCCCCTGTCTGGTCCTGAGGAATCGCAGCCCTGGGTTGATCCGGTTCTCCCACAGGCTTCCTGGTCTGGCCAAAGTTTTTTGGGCTTGACCGTCCCCCCGATGAAGCTGCTGCTCTTCTGCTGCCCCAGTGGCCTTGACCGAGTGATGGATGCAGCCGAGAAGGGATCTTACCCCTGGCCCTGCAACTGGGTGGGATTCAGGGGGGTTCCAAGGGGTGGGCCTTGCTTGCGCCCTCCGCACGTCTCAGGTTTAATGTTACAGGAAATTCAGAAGATCCTCCCTGATGAGGCATGAAGACGAGGCAAGGCAACAAGCAGAGCGGGTGCTGAAAGGAGACCCTTCCCTCCCTCCCTCCCTCCCTGGCAGGCAGGACTGCTGGGGATTTTCCAGAGGATAAAAAGCAGCTCCAGAGCAACCTCTTGGCAGCAACTTTCCTGGCATTCTCTCTTTTTGGCAAGAGGGGAGGGGCTCAGGAATGGGGCAACAGGGACTATGTGGGGGAACACAAAGATATCCGGCTTATCCTGACCCTCTCTCCCCCCTCCACACCAAAAGGAGATGAGCCCGTAGCTCAGTGGGTTCTTCACTCAAGGAAACCCTGGGACAGGGTGGGGGGGAGAAGCTGCCTTGTGAACTTATTTATTTATTAGTCATATTTCTATGCTGCCCACTCTCCAAGGACTCTGGGTGGCTTACACCAAAGACAGTATACTAAATAGCATATTGCCCCCAACAATCTGGGTCCTCATTTTACCCACCTCGGAAGGATGGAAGGCTGAGTCAACCTTGAGCCAGTGAAATTTGATCCGCTGATCTGCTGAACTAGCAGTCAGCTGAAGTAGCTGCAGTACTGCACTCTAACCACTGCGCCACCTCAGAACTGGGAATATCCCTAGGTTTTAACTGGTTGGAAGGGATGAGTAGGGGGCAGGATTGTAATCAGGGGAACCTTGGCCAGATACCCGGACTTTTGTCATTTTTTCACCCAGGAATCTAAAGGAGCCCCTCCACCCCCAAACCCTTCAGCTTTGTGACCCTGAAGTTTCAGGTTGTTCAGGTTGTGACCTAGGCCCAAGTAGTTATTACCAGACACAATCAGTCCTAAACAAACATGTTTTATTAGAACAGCTGAGAATTACTTCATTCTCAGCTTAGTCCAAATTAATTCCAAAACCTTCATAAACAGTCCTTTGGCCTTATCACCAACCTTTGTCTTCTTTGGCACTCTGCTAAAGGCTTTTCTTGGCAAAACCCCAGGAAGTTCAGAAACAATTGTAGCAACCTTGCTTTCCTACAAAGATCCCAAGAGCAGTTGCTGTTCTTTTAAGCGTTATGGGAGGGGCCAATCATCTGGCCTTACTCCCGAGTCGCCCTTTTTGCTTCAGCTGCTCTTGCCTTCTGGCAGTTCTTTGCGTGCGTGCACTAGGAAAAGGCTCCTCCTGTTCCTCTGCCTCTCTGCTGTCCGCCTCTGGAGGCTCCGGAGTCTGCGCATCACTCCCAGATGGCCCTGGCCCCATCTCTGCCTCCGACGCAAAGCCCTCGTCCGGGCTTTCCCCTGACTCCAGGACGGGCCCATGGTCCACCCCAGCCTCCTCACTGTCTGACTCCGCTGCCAGCTACGCAGGCTGCTGGCGGACCACAACAGTTCATTGACCCCCTCTTACAAGCAAAACAGAAAGGCAGTTCCCCTTTCTGGGGTGGAGGGCTGATGAGTACCCCAGTCTGGCACTAGGGCAGGAATAGGGAGAAGGGTTTGAAGTTGTCTCCCAGCAGCCCAGCCACAGTGGTCAGCCTGGACTCTATTTTTTCACCGACCAAAAAGGGCAGATAAAAAAAACCCAAAACACTTAAGGGAGAAAACAGCGTTGTGTGTGCTTCCCTCTAGTGAACACTTTGGCATGTACAGCTTTCAGAATGCATCCCCCCCCCTTTTTTTTTTGCAAGGAGTTTGGGATCAAGGGCCCTTTCTTATGCTATACGGTGCTCAGAGTCAGGAAAGGGGAAGGGAAAAGGAAAAGGGAACGAAAGACAGGAAAGGGGGAAGGATGGCATTGCAAACATAGGAAAGTTTGGAAAGCATGGATTCTTTGGTTCTGGATTGTGCATTCATTAAAATGTAAGCTGAACAGATTTCACACCCAATTTTGTCTAATGCACGGTTGCTTTATTTTGTTGTTTCAGTTTTTGGGTTTGTCACTGCGTGCATTGAGCTCCTCCCGCTGCCTTCCGAGGGGTCTCCTGGTCTGGGAAGCCCCTTTCGCCTCAGGGTCTAGGTAGTCTCCACGCACAGATCACTGATGCAGGCAATTGCAGCGGTCAGGCTCAGTATTTCCAGGAAAGAAGGGAGAAAAGACTCGAGGCAGCCCATAAGCAGGCCCATAAGTGGCCATTGGCGGGATGTTCCTCTGCTTAGGCCGGGGCTCCCAGTGATAACCCACTCAGGACCAGCCCACGAACGTCCCACGACATGTTCGCCTGGGCTGAAACAGCTCAAATGAATTGTGACTCGGTGTGATGTGGGATCCTCGGCCATCGTCTCTGCTCCCGTTTCATCCTTGAAACCATTGTGTGGCGTATTTGCTTGTGCTTGCATGTCGTGTAAACACAGCCCTTGGATTTGGCTGATCGCAGTTGTGTGAATTCAGGTGAAAGAAGCAAAAATGTTTGCATCTGCCGGTCTGGCCCCAGCATGAGGCGCACTTCCTTCTTTTTCTTGAACCCGGGGCCTTCCTGGCTAGTAGCCACCCTGCTCCTGGCATGGCTTTCGGGGGCAGCTCAGCCAGCCTTCCCCAGCTGCCCCACTCTCCACTCGCCCCCTTCTCCCCTCTCCCCCCGGCTCCCCCTCCCCCTTACATGGGCTGCCTTCCCGCCTCCTCTTGCGCGTCTGCTATCTGATACAGGATACGTGATCTGTCGGCTCGACCACACGCTTCCAACCAGACTCTGCTCGCCTGCCTCACACACAGACGCCAGGGCTGCCACTCTGCCAAGATGCCGATGGCAGTGGCTCTCCTGTGGCCTCGCTGAGCTCCCAGGATGCTGCCAGGCGTGCCACCCTTGGTCTTGCTTTGCCTGGCCTTCTCCCTGGGGCACCCCTGCCCTGCCACCTGCAGCTGTACAGACTCTCACACGGTCGACTGCCGGGGACGGGGGCTGCCTGGTGTGCCCACCCAGTTCCCCCTGGACGTACGGAAGCTCCTGATGGGCAACAACAGCATCCAGAGGGTCCCAGAGGACTTCTTTATCTTCCACAGTGACCTGGTCTACTTGGAGTTCAGGAACAATGCTATCGCTGCCCTGCCGGATGGCACCTTCAGCAGCTCTGGCAAGCTGGTCTACTTAGATTTGAGCTACAACAACTTGAGTCGGCTGGGTGCCGGCCTCTTCCGGTCAGCAGAGCGTCTGGTCAAGCTCTGCCTGGGGAATAACCGCCTAGCCGAGGTGGACGAGGCGGCTTTTGCCACCCTCGAGCATCTCCAGGTGCTGGAGCTGAACCACAACCGCTTGCAGAGGCTGAGCGTGGCCACCCTGGCCGCCCTGCCTAACCTCCGGGTCCTCCGCCTGGAGGGCAACCCCTGGCCATGCGACTGTGACTTTGCCGGCCTTTTCAACTGGCTACAGGAGAATGCTTTCCGGCTGCCCCAAGGTAACAATGCCCCCCTCCCTTCACCCCCCCCCCAGGCGCTGCCTGCTGCTCTCCCCATGTCTTGTTCTCCTCAGAACGTGGTCTCTCTCCCTCTCCCTCCCTCCCTCCCTCCCTTTCTCTCCCTCCCCCTCCCTCTCTCTCTCCCTCCCTCCTTCTCTCCCCTCCCCTTCTCTTTTTCTCCCTCCCTCCCTCTCCCTCCTTCCTTCCCTCTCCCTCCCTCTCCCTCTCTCCGTGTCCCTCTCCCCTCCCACTCTCTCCCTCTCCCTCTCCCTCCCTCCTCTCTCTCCCCCTCCCTCCCTTTCTCTCCCTCCCTCCCTCCGTCTCCCTCTCCCTCCGTCGGTCTTGCCCCATCCTCGGCTTGGCCTAGGGGAGTTTCTTTGTAGTTGTTCATTGCTAGATTCATAAGGCTGCCCTTTTCCTTTGATGGTCCCAAACCACAGCATCTCCCTGACAAGCTCTTGTGGAAAGGAGGGCCCAGCCTGGGCTCCCTTATGCCAGGTGGTGTAAGAGACCATGGGGCCCCTCAGGAGGGGGGCTGAGCCGCCTTCAGCGGGGGTCTCTTTGAGCCCTTGGGGTTGGAGCAGGTCAGGCCCCACAGGTGGGTTGGGAGGCTTTTGCAGCTGCTTCCAAGCACATGGGTTGCTGGGAGGGTTTCGGGGGAGAGGGGTCCTTCCGCAAGTGGTTGGCTCAGGGTCTTCATAGGAATGGGGTCTCCCCCGTGAGGCAGAAGCTGATTCCATCCAGTCTGAAGAACAGATTTCTGGAGCAAAAGGGCATTGATGAGCCTAGGTGCCCCACTCCTCCCCAATGATCCGCCTGCTTTGGTTACTGGGCGGAGTGGCCGGGCTGGGTCAAGCTGGCAAATGGGCTTCCTTGTCCTTGCCGCAGCCTCCCTGCTATCAGAGGCTGCCAATGTATTTCAAAATGTATTTTGAGGGAGGGCTGATGTAGGCGGGGGAGCTGCAGATCAGTTCCTCTGGGCAGGCAGTTCTGTGCCAGCCGGATGCCAGGCAGAACGGAAAGTGCCAGCAATCTGGCTTAGGCAGCCACTTCATGGTGGACTTCCTTCTCCCCTCCTGTCTCCTCTTCACACACGCACACGCACCCCCCCCAGTGTTGAGGATGCCAGCTGGCAGCCTGGAACCCACAAGGAGCCACGGCTGCTCTCCTGCCAGAGTCAGAAGCTGGGGAGGTATCACAATCACACAGGGTTGTGAGTCTGTCTAGGCAGCCTTGCGTTGATTCAAACAGGAAAACCCACAATCACTAAATGGTCTCGAAATGATCAAAACCTCACCTGACAACTTTCTAGGGCCTAGCACTGAGAGAAGAAAAAGGCATTGCCTGGAGACTCCGCCTGAGGGGGGAATCTCACAGCTTGCCCCCCTCTCCCCTCTCCCCTCCCTCTTCCCCCGCCCCCTCCCCTCCCCCCCCACAGGAGACCAGACCCAAGTAGGGATTTCTTTGGTCCGTTGCTTCATCTGCATCTCACCATTTGACAGAAGCTCAGAGAGCTTCAGACGCTGGACTGCAGTGCTTGGAAGCCCTGCTGAATAACTTGGGAAAGAGGCAGGAGCACCTGACTTTATCCAGTTTTGGGCTCTGCCGAGTGGTATATTGGGTAGGTGAGTTGTAAATGCTACTCCTAAGAGTAAAACCCACCCTGCTTTGTGCCCCTCCTTCCCCCTCCCTCTCTGCCTCCTCCTGTGCTGCAGGTCTGGGTGAGATCCGGTGCACCCCTCCCACAGAGGGGAGCTCCGTCCCGCTCAGTGAACTGACAGAAGCCAGTTTCCGGGACTGCAAGTTCCGTCTGTCCCTGGTGGACCTCCTGATCATCGTCTTCTCTGGGGCGGCAGTCTCCGTCGCGGCCATCATCTCTAGCTTTGTTCTGGCGCTGCTAGTGAACTGTTTCCAGCGATGCACGCCCAGAAAAGAGGAGGAAGAAGAGGAGGAGGAGGAGGAAGGCTAAACTCCCTTCTCTTTCCCTGCGCCCACCTGCCTTGTTCAACGGAAGCCAAGGGCTGCCTCCGCTTGCTGAAAAGGGCAGCTGAGGGCCGAACAGTCCCTCTCCCATGGACTGACCAGGGATTGACAGGATGAGCTACTTTGGGATCCTCTCCAGTGACCGTCTCACAGGAGGCAAGAAGGGGCTCAGAAGCAGGAGGCCGATTGGCACTTTCGGTGGCACTTCATTTTAAAACTTCTCTCTGTGGACAGCGGCAAATCAGCAGGAAATCCATCTGTACAAATCTCCTTTGATTCCAAGGAGTGGCCCCATGTAACTCCAGATGTGGATCTCCTACCTGTGGCTGCCTTCACTTCTGCAGCTGCCCTCAGTGCCCATTGCCACTTGGCTGGCTCCCTCCCTGCCCAAGTTCCAAGCCACTCAGGGGTTGCCTCGTCACGCCTGGCTTGGCTTGCCAGCCCCTGGCTGAGCAAAGGCAGCCCTTGCCCACTGCCTGGCCTGGGACGTCTCCCGTTGTGTAGATGGAAGGATTGCTCGGCTTGTCCCCCATGTGGCTCCGTCAAAAGGAGGAGCAGGAGGCCAGCCCAACTTCCTCACCACCACCACCCCGGTCTCTCAAGCACAGCACCTGGATAGCTGCCCTTTTCTTCTTCTCTGTAGGTGGAGTTTCCTTCATTTTCATGGAAAAGGAATGGCCCCTGGCTTTTCGTCTTTCCAAAAGGTCGAATGGTGTGATCTTTGCCCTCCCCTCTGCTCTGAGTGTCTCCGAGGGGCTCCTTGCAGAAGCTTTGCTACTGCTTGGCTTCCCATGTTCCCCCTTCTCCATCATTTGATCCCAAATGCTTGGTTGGGAAGGTTCTGGCACTTTGAAACGTAACTAAGCATCAGGCTAAACCTGCCAACGTGGGGAATCAGGGCAGGCGCACAGATTGAAATGCAAGGCTGATAAATCCGTGGGCAGCCGGGTACTTTGGTCATTGCTGGGCAAGTGGTGATGGGGATCGCGGTGAGGCTGCCCGGTCTGCTGAGAGCAGCAGGATCCCAGGGGGCCTTCTGGGACCCAGGCCTCGATGGAAAATCCTCATTTCCACATTTGGAAACCTGCGATGTGGAAGGATCTACTGTGGACATTTCTGGAGATGTTAAATGGATCCCAGTGATCCACTGCTGGGAGTGTCCAGGCTGTTGGCTTTCTCCCATCCTGACCCTCTTAGAAAAGGACATTTTGTGCTCTAGCTTGCATGCATGTGTTTCCTTATAAACAGCTTCCGTGCCATTTTCTTAGCAACAGTGTGGAAGTGGGAAGGGATTTTTTTTTAAATTCCCAGAGTAGCCCCCAGCCCCCTTCCTCCCTTATGGATCCCCCCAAAATATTATCTGCACATCTTAATCCTCCTCTCCCTGCCTGACATGCCCCCCTGCCCCACCCACCCACCCCCCTGCTCCCCAGAGGGAGGGTCTGGGCCTGGCTTCCCCGGAGGGATTCTTGGTGCCCTGCAAACCGGGAATCTGGGCCTCCAAGGACCAGTGATGAGGGGGTGGTGGTGGTGGTATGGATATTTCAGCACCTCCCTTTGCTTTTAACAGTAGCTGGTGCGAGAGCCTTCCAGGCAGGGTGGATTTGATTTAAATCAAGTCAATTTAAATCACAATTTAAATCACTAGCAAAATGCCTTGATTTAAATCAACTCGATTTAATCATAATTTTTAAAGAGCAACTGTCATCTCAGTCCCAATATTGCAGAATATACAGCCTCATGCTTACATAACTAAGCTCCATCTCATGCTGAATAAACTTAAGTTATGAATGTATCTTAAGTAGAAAACTATCTTTAGATAGATTTTTTACTCCAAAAGCATTTTATTAAAATAAAGTTGATAAAAAATAAATAAAAAAAATGATTTAAATTTTTAAAAATCTGTTTTTTTAGAAAAAAAAACCCATAGATTTTTATCCACCCTGCTTCTGGGGCTCAGTCCGGGCAGAGTGGGCTCCAAGCGAGACCTCCTGGCTCAAGGCCATCTCTCACACTGACTCGCCCGGCTGCAGGTGGGAGTTTCAATCCCCTCCTTGCAGCAGAGGGACCTTCCCTGGAGGAAAGCCGGGTCAAGTGGTGGTGGTGGTGGTGGTGGTGGTGGGCGACTGTGACAATTCAGATTCTAAAAGAGTATTTTCCTCTGAAGCTAAAGTTTTTCTTCACCCCCAAATGTAGCACCATAACTGTGACCAATGGAGCATGTGTCTAACCTACGAAAAATTGCATCCTGTGATCTTTGGGTGTTGCGAAAGTTAACTATGTTGGGGGGAGGGGGGCACTGAAGTCAAATTCCAGGGGTTGGGGTAGTCTTTGTTCCGCCTATTTATTTTTCCTTGCCCTGTTCCCCCACCTCCCAACAGATGGAAAATATTTTCAGCATTCTGCTCCCACATCAGAGCTGTCAGCTTTGGAAGCCATATTAGGCCGGAAGCTTCCATGTTGCTACCTTCCCCTGTGTGGGAAAGTAGGAGGGGGGATTTAGTAGAGGGGTTGTCTGTAGACATAATAGCATTCTTCTTGTCGATCAAGGTCAGGGCGATCCTGCATCTGAAGGAGGAGTGGTGGGAGAGCTGTCTCGAGATGGGATGGCGGTTGATTGGAGCATGTGGTCGACTGAGGAGTGAGCGGATGGTTTTGGGGGTTTTAATTTACTGAGGGGAAACACGGACCTCTCAGATTCGGGTTTTCCCAGATGTGCCAGTTTACCTATTCTAGTAAATAGAACTTTGAAAAATGCTTGCTTCAGAGTCTTTACTTGGAGTTGGGGTTTTTCTGGAACGCTGACACTAGCAGCCTTTCCTTTCTGTCCTAATCCAACTGCTGTGTCCCCCCTCTCCCCCCAGAAAGAGAACCGTGGAGTCTCCCGGGTGCCCCCAGCAGCTTTATTTGGCCCAGGTGCCAAGGAAGGAAAGCAAGAGAGAGAGAGAGAGAGAGAGAGCTCAAAGCCAGGTGGCCTCAAGAGTCCCTGAAGCCGTTCTCAGTGGCAATCCATGCAAGTTTCTCTCCGTTTTCTACATCCCTGGACTTGCGGTTGAGCTAGGAAAGCATTACATCCGGAACTGGAGCAGGATGTTGTCCGGTTCTTTAAACTCCTCCTGGTCTCTTCCTCTGTCCGTCGGGTGACTTGTGGAAAAGCTGTGCTGAGGCAATTCAATGCGCAAAGGCAACAAGGCTTCGATTTGTGCTTTATGGCGCCAGTTCCCTCACCGTAAAGCTTCCAACTCTCTTTATTCCTGCAAAGAGCTGGAGCTTCTCTTCAGGAGAATGCCCTCCGCCGCCTGGCTGGGCAAACCGACACCCCCGCCCCCCCCCCCGGGAGGCTTCTGCTCTTCTCAGGCAGGGGCATCTAGGCTTCTGAGCAGCCACTGCTTGCGGCTCTGCTCCAGGATGCGCCTCGTGTCCGGCCGCTGGCGAGGGGCGTATGCCGAGGCGAGAGGCTTGGGGTAGGAACTGTGGTAGATGCTCTTGCCCACTTCCGGCTCTTTACCATGCCAGGTTTTCATCAAGTGCTCCAAAAGTCCGTAGTTGGTTGGGGGCTCTGAAAAGAACGTTATTTCAGGGGGTGGGGGGAAATGAAATAAAGGGGAGGACGGAATGGGAAAGGAGGCTGTAACTGTCCCCAAATTTTTACCAGGGACCTGAGCAGTGACAGAGGAGCTGAGGCAGCAAAGCTTAAGGCCGCTGAGGCTGAACCAAGGCAGGTGGACCTTTCCTCCTGCATGCTGGAGGGGGCCCTGGGGATGAGGAGATTCCTCCCTCATTTCTCTGGAGACCTGCTTCAATTCCCACTTGTCCCATCGCAGCTGGCAAGGAAACGTCAAGCTGCTGCTCTTGCAGACTCCACAGGTATTCCTGGAGACCCCTGCCCAGCCTTCTAGCACAGGAGCCCACCAGCCCACCCCTCACTGCCCTCCCTCCTCCCGGGACCTACCAACAAGGGGGTAGTCTGATTTCTCTGGTGTCCAGGCCAGTTTGTGCCTGTCCCATGTGCGGAGTGGAGGCAGGTGGGGGTTGTGGCCATGTCTGTTGTATTGATCGTCGTACTGCGAGACCAGATGCTGATGCCTGGCTTCTTCACAGTGGGTCAAGATATACTTCCTTGGCAGGCCCTAAAAGGCAACGAGTGGCATTTGAAGGTGGTGGGCCTGACGGAAGAACAGGCTGAAGATGCCCCTCCCGTCATGGGGGGGGGCTGGCTGGCTAGGTGAACTGGGATTGGTAGGCCTGGACTGGGGAGGGCAGAATCCAGAGTCAGACCTGTGGTGACAGTTTGGGAAAGCCGAAATGTAGCCCAAAATGTCATGGCTTGGCTGAATGGAGCCACGGTGGGATGAAGCCCAGGCTTGGAGGCAGGGGACCTGGGAGGGAAGAGCTCCAGGGTTCTACTTACCTTTACTACCGGTTTGCAATGGGATCGTACGCGCTTGCTTGCTTCGCTCGTGCGTGCATGCGCCAAGCTTCTGCACATGCGCAGATCGCCTATGACGACATTTGGGGCGGTGGGCGGAGCCTCCTGCCGGTTTTACTACTGGTTCTTGCAAACCGGTCCAAACCGGAGGCAACTCACCACTGAAGAGCACCCAGAGGCTGGCCTGCAGGGCACAGGGCGGGTGCATGTGCTCGGGGCCAAACATAAGAGGGGGCTTTTGAGTCGCCTGCCAAGTTCGGTTTGCTTTAACCTCGATTGGTTTTCGGTGGGTTTTCTTGGCATGTAGCTCAGCCCTCTGGTTAGTGTTTGGTTTGGTGTCTTGTGCACACTCAGGAAACGCCTCTGTTCTTTGCCACAGTTAAGTGCAATGCGTGAATGCAGCCCATACGTGGCTCAGTGTGAAAGAAGGGGTGACAGCAGGGGTGGTCCCCTTCTCAACTCTGGCTGGAATTGCACAGCCTTCCCAGTCCAGGCAGGACATGGATCTGAAAGGCCCCAAGTTTGGATCAGGACTCCGGTAACTCACCTCCAGCCGCTTCATAAGCCTCCGCATCACGGTTCGGTCTGGGGTCCCAGTGGGGAAAGGGATAAAATCTTGTTTGAAGGTACTTTGACCGGTCCCCTCATTATCACGGACAAACTAAAAAAACCCAGGTAAACAGCCATCACTGAAACGAAGCTGAGATCACCCTTTGGGAAACCACGGTTTCTGATTTCCTGTGCTAACTAGCTTGGTGTGCCCCCCCCCCGGAAGGAATATTCCTTACCCTTCTTCTCTCCTCTCCCCAGTTTCCAATCAGCACTTTGGTTGAGTACTTTGGCTCCACCTTCCAGCTGGGGACGGTGCATTCCTGGACATCTCTGCATAGATTGATCATGTTCACCTTCCTTTCTCCGTCTCTGGCCAAGAGCTTTTAGGGGTTCCTTTGTGGCCTTCCTTCATCTCAGGTTCTCCATTGTTGCCCATTGCCTTGGTTACCCTCCTGTGACACGGGTAATGGGGGATTCTGTTGTGATGCAATCCCTGGGCTTGTTCTATGGGGGATCAGGGCTATGGAGCCAGATGCCCAGGGGACGCTTCTAGCTCCATGGCAAGCCTGGATGATGATCAGGAGGATAAACGGGAGAATATCTCTGGTGTTGGGGGAGCCTCTTTTATCTGCATGTGGGATGCAACTCAAAGCCGTAGCATTTCATGTGCAGAAGCTGAAGGCGTCAGCCTCCCCACAGGTTCTTTTTTTCCAGCTCCTCCCCCCTTTTTTTTGGTTTTGCCTGAACCTGGTCAATTACACCTGCCTGGCAAACGGGTTATATACAAGACTAAGTTGCCATGTTCATATAACAGAGCAAGTCAGCTGTATTTTATTCCTGAATTGCAAGCACACAAATCTACATGGCCATTTCAAAAACGTTGTTTCTAACATTTATTATTCAGTCTCCAAATAATCTTGAGTCTCAGTGTGCAAATAAAACAAAATGAATGCCCGGACGTCTATGTGAAATACCACAATGAGCCAATCATTTGGAATAGCCCGTTAAAACAGCAGACACCAAGTCCAGTACCATCGGATGGTATGACGTGGCTGTGTTTCGTGGCCAGCCATGCCACCATGAAGCCGGCATGGAAAACTCCCTTCTGGCCGAGAGAGTCTCATTTGGTTCTCTTGTCTGTGTTGGGAAGCATAGGCAGAATCTGCTAGGCCACTGTTTAAATTCCAGAGCGATTCAGCTTTTGTGCTCAGGCTAGTCCTAACCGGACTGAATTTGTGACAAGTACAAGTTTTCTACTTCCTGACCGAATATTGTTATTCTTGTTAATTCACAAGCCTTTAATGAAGCTGACAATATCATCCACTCCCTTTTTCCCGGATGGGAAACCGAGCCAGCCTCTCTCAAAAAAGTCTATAATCCCATGGAATCCGTTCGCAAGATGGCACCAGGTCACCGGGACCTGCTGGTCTTCCAGGCGCTTCTTGTAGAGCAGGCCATCGTCTCTCAGGACGTCGTATTCACAGGTCAGAATGAAGGTCTCGGGAAGCAGCGAGAGGACGGCCTCTTCCTCCAGAAGCGGTGAGCATTCAGGTAAAGTCAGGCTCTGAAGGGCCCCGTAGACATCCTCTTTGGGAGAAAGGCAGGAGGTGGGCTTATAGCCCCTGACCTTAAACTCCTTCTGGAGGTGGTCCGCACTCAGCCACTTCCTGTACTGCACTCTTAGCTTCATCGGGACGTGTGACCCTTCCAAGATGTCTCCCAGGTGTGAAGCATCTCCTGTCGAGCGCTGCAGCAGGTAGAAAGCGGCCCGTTCTCGGAACAGAAGCGGCACAGCCCGGTTCTGCTGGTAGGAAGGCAGGTTGAAGTCTACCGCTTGGAGAACAGGACAAAGGAGGATCTGAGCGCGCACTTTGGTGGGGCCCAATCTACTTGCTAAAATTTGGCAGACCCTGGCAGCGAGATTCCCGCCTGCCTCATTTCCAGCAAGGATGACCTGGCTGCTGTCCACCCCGTAGTCCTCCGCGAACTTCAGAAAGTGAGTGGAGGCAGCAAGGCAGTCGTTGAGCTGGGCAGGGTGTCTGTGCTCAGGAGCCAAGCGGTACCTGTAGGGAAGAAGGTGCACATGAACCGGAGGAAGACTTTGACCTGCTCCCTCAAGACGGGGTGAGGGTGGGGAAAGATGAGAAGCAGAAACCCTGGGCAATAAGATGAGAAGCCCCCCCAACGATTGAGAAGAGCGCTGGGAAAGCCTTCCCTTCCAGAAGGACTGCCTGGCAGCTCTTAGTTGGCCAGGCCCAGCCCCTCTTGCTTTGGGTGACCTCCCGGTCTGGCCCTTAGGCTTTATTTGCCAGGTACAAGGGGTTGCCGCCCAAGGCCCACCCACTCAGCCATCCACACGGGTCCTTTCACTTCCGCCCTCCCCAGCCATGGCGCAGGGGGTTCAGGTGCCCAGCCCATCTCTGGAAGGGGATGGCTGCTGGTTTAGGACCCCCCTGATTTTAATTTCTCCTTCAGGGGGGAGTCTTGCTCCATTTGCTTATATCAATGAAGGGACATGCGGTGACTGTTGGGGAGATCCAGCTAAGATTTCTGGGGATGTTGGTTGGGTACCCTGGCCTCGCAAAGCTGGTGGCTCGTTCTCTTGGGCTGTCTTCTCTGCACTCCCAGGATCTGGGGTAAGAATAAAAACCCCACTTTGGATGACTTACGCCACGGACACAACCACCGAATCGCTTTCTCGGGCCAAGTAACTGCAGAGGTGCTCCTGGCTCCCTGAAAGAAAGATCACTGGCATGACTGACTGGAAAGACAGTGCTTGAGCCTCCCTTCATTGGGTAGAAACCGCCCAAAAATATTTCGTCAAGTTCCTCTGAGAAACAAGTCCTGAAGGGCAAATGGTCCACCAGTGCCTTGTAGGCACGAAGGCAGCAAAGTCCTTCCCTTGGATCCCTTCCTTTCAATCAACTGGTTGCTTCCAAATAGATCCAGTAGTTCATGTACAGAAATCTACCTTTTTCTTTCTTTCCTGATTTGGATCAGTTTAGTTTGGCAATTCAGTTCTGAAATCCAATTACCCTCAGTTTGGGGAGCTGATCTGAATTATTCAGTATACTCAACATAAAGGATCCCAATGGGGTCAGATCAGCAAAGAATTAAACATTCTCTCTCTCCCTCTCCCCCCTCCCCCTCTGAATACCGCTAATGTGTGGGAGTTGAATACAATGTTGGGCCAAATCAGAGTTGAAATCCAACAGGTTCTGGAGAACCGGTAGCGGAACTTTTGAGCAGTTTGTAGAACCGGCAAATACCACCTCTGGCTGGTCCCAGAGTGGGGTGGGAATGGGGATTTTGTAGTATCCTTCCCCTGCCATGCCCACCAAGCTAACACCACGCCCACAAGCCACGCCCACAGAACCGGTAGTAAAAAAAATTGGATTTCACTACTGGACTGCGCTTTCTCTGTGGGGCCAGCCTTCCGCGTGAGCAAAGCCCCGTTCCTCTTCCCTTTGGAGGCAGCGGACCTCCGGCGACGGGACTCACCCAGGCTGCCGAAGAGCCAGCCCCCTCCGTGGAAGTACACGATGCCCTTCCTGGGGCCGGCGGCGGAGGGCGCTTTGGGCAGGTAGAACCGGACAGGGATGCCCTCGAAGGCGGCGTCCTGGATGCAGAGGGCGGCGTCTCTCCTCCTCGTCCAGGCGTTGCGCACAAACCGGGCGAACTGGATCTGGCTGCAGAGATGCAGGTTCTCCAAGATCCGTCCCTTTCAAGGGGGAGCAAAGCAGGTGCTTCAGCGGTTGGGCCGCCTCGGAGCGCCCTGGAGCAGGGAAGCGGCCAGCCACCCGCGGAAAGCCCAGCTTGGCCCCGTGGGGGTCCTCGGCCTTCCCTCCCCCCTTCAGGGGTCTGGCCGGGGCCCTTAAAGCGTGGGGGCTGCCTCGGCCGCCTCCCTCGCTGCCAGCCAGCGCGCTACTTTCCTCGGGCTTCCGAAGCCCGGAGATTTTAGCGAGGGGTTCTCCAGGAGGGGCGGTGCCCGCTCGCCCCGGGCTGCCCTTGGAGACGCGCCTCAGGCGCGGCTGTCCCGAGGGCGGCCGGTTTCTTGGGCGCGCCCCGGGACCCCCAGCTTAGGTCGCTTCCCCGAGGGAACTCCAGACCGGCTTCATCGGCCCGGGGAGGGGCGCAGGCGGGGTCCTCTCGACTCCCCGCCAGGCTATGCCCTCTTTCCGCGCATCGGCAGCACCGCGGCTCTTCGGCAGAGCCTCCCCGGCCCCAGAAGCCTTTCCTCCCGTGGAGCACGGGCTGCGGCCGGCCGCCTGCCTGCCTGCCTGCCTCCCTCGGAGCCGCCTGCCCGCCTTCTCACCAGGACCGCGACCCCGATGCGGCAGGCGTGGATGACGCGGAGCCTGGCCGGCTGCTCCAGCCCGGCCGGCAGCTCAGAGTTGGTGGCTTCGAAATAGATGCTGCCCAGCACCAGCAGGATCAGGGCGGCCAGCCCCGCCGCGCCCACCAGCGCCAGCAGCGCCTGCGGGAAGCCCATCGCCGAAGGAGGGAGAGCCGCCGCCGCCGCCGCAGCGCTGGGCCTCAAGCTTTGCGGGCGGAGCGGAGCGCCCTCGGACCACACCTCCCATCCTGCTCGGCCCCTTTTCCGGATTCAGGCGGGGCTTGTTGCTCTTAGGACGGGAAGTCGCCCCTGCAGCCCCTCCGACGAGGACCAGGTGAGCCCTGAATCTGACCCCTTCCACCCCCACCCCCCCCCGCAGAAGCCAGCCCAAAAGGAGCCCCTCATCCTGGCCTCGAGGGAGGGTCAGCAACTGGACAAGCAGCCGTTCCCACCCCATAGGATTGGAGTGCTTCTTCTGCTGGAGGAAGAGAGGACCTCCATGGGGGGGTGGGCAGCACCCTTAAGAATGCCTGCCGGCCATTGGAGGGGGGGGAGCTCATTTCAGACCTCCAGCGCTGTCCCAAAGAAGGCAGACCTAGCTTTCTCTAGTTGGTGCTTGCCATGAAAGGATCTTCCAGCATCATCCGAGCCCCGGGCCATGATTTGCTCAACCACACTGCCCTGGTTGCTGCTTTTGTGCTTTGTAGTAAATGGTGAAATCCAATTTTTTTTATTACCAGTTCTGTGGGTGTGGCTTGGTGGTGGATATTGCAAATCTCTATTCCCACCTGACTCCTGGGACAAGGATATTGCAAAATCTCCATTCCCACCCCACTCTGGGGCCAGCCAGAGGTAGTATTTGCTAGTTCTCTGAACGACTCAAAATTTCCGCTACTGGTTCTCTAGAACCTGCTGGATTTCACCCGTTTGTAGTTCTGAACTGATATGGATCTCAGAATTGGGGGCTGGCAAGGTCTTGCTGGATGAAAGCTCCTGCCCTGGCATTGTCCTCCCCTGCATAAATCTAAAGTAGGAACAGGAAGGAGATTGCAGTAGTAAATCCAGCCCTTCTGCTCAAGGGAGCCTGTCCAGGCTTACTGGAGGATGGAGAGTCTCGGCCTTCACAGTTTCATCAGGAGGCAAGTGATGGTAAATCTGTCCTAAAACTGGGACAGATATTTCTGCTCAGGTTCTGATAGGCACCTGGCATATTACGGGGGTGATGGTGCCAGGTGACTCTGTGCCAGGAGAGTCTCTCTCTTCCTTTTCCTTTCTTTTCCCTAAGAAAGAGGTGCTGACCTCCTTGTGGCCCCGGAAGTGCCCAGCGAGAGGCTTGGCACGAGACCTCAGGATCTCTGCAGTGCAAAGAAGGAGGCAGGGCTGCCAAAAATCCCCCCCATCGTTTTATCGGGGACGCCATATGGAAACGAAGGCTGTGTTTTTAGCCAAGTATCTTAGCCAAGGCATCGTTTTTCTTGGAGCTCTTGTCTACACGGGTGACCCTTGGGATCTAGGGTGAAATACGTGGGTGCATTTGGCATTAGGGAGTGCCGCGAATACGAGCAGCCGGGCTAGGTTTGAATCCACCAGCGTCAGAAAGGCGGAAGAAAAACCCTCCTTGGAGACTTGGAGTGGGACTTTTTTTGTCCTTTCAGGTCAAGTGAAGGTTCTCAGGTTCCCTGGTTCAGGGAACCTGAGCCTATGCCTATGTTCCTATGCGAGGAGGGAACAAACAGAGCAGGAAAACACTGATAAAACACTGATAAGGTGTTTCGGTGTTTGCTTTGCTCCGTCTGGTAGTTTTCCAGTCACCTTGAAGCAGAAGAACAAGAAGAGAAGGGGAAGAAGGGGAATTCTCAACGCCGGTATCAAATAAGGCAAGATTTTTTATTAAACCAGAGAAGGCTTTCCAGAAAGACAAGCATTTGAGGTTCCAAGAATTTGGGTCAGAACAAGCTTGACCCAGGCTGTAGTGTTTCTTCCGGCCTCTTGGCTTCCATTCCCACTAGACCTACTTGCAACAACCACAGAAAACCAAAGGCATCATAAGAGAACACTTTGCAAGGCTCTGCTGAGATTCCTTTTGCCTTTTGTTTTATTGGTGCAGAGAAGGGCACGGACCACCATAAACCCTCACCCAAGAGAGTCCATCCAACTAGCACCTGCATAGACATGGAGTGGGGGGGGGGAAGAGATACTTCCAACCCCTCCCAGAGAGGGAGAGGTCATGATCTTCCAATGAAGGAGGGAGAGATGCACAGGCTGGTCAGTCCCCGGAGGAATCTTTGTCAGGGGCAGGTCTTCATAACTAGCCCAGGCCAAGAGCAGGAAGGTCCATAACAGCCTTGACTGACTTGACTGCTGGCATTTGGTCAGTCCTCAGACATGAATATCCTCTGGGAGTCTGGAGGTCAAGAGAGCCTCTCTCCTTGACATGGCTGTGGTTGGGTTCCCCGAGCCGTAGGGCCCTTCGGTATACTGTGGAATAGGTGAGCTGATATTCCTGGTTGTTGAAACAGTGCAGTCTGACTCCATCCTTTCCTGAATTGGCCGCGATCCAAACATTGGTTGCTATTGATACGTGGCACCTCAGATGCTGAGCCTCAGCATATGTTTTGGTGGGCAGGGGAGCAGAAGGAGTGGAGGGTGAGCCGAGAAGAGCCACGGCTGATCAGAGGAACCCTTCCCTTGTGAGCAGGGTGAACAGAGTGTCTTCTCAGGGAAGGCCAAAGGTTCCCTATGGAGTTGTTTGTTTACCTCCATGAGGTCTCAGAGAGGCCATCTCTTCTCTAAGCCAATCTGCTTCCTAGCATGCTCTCTCCCAGCTGAGTCACTGCAGAGACAGGCCACAGGCATCTGATGCTGGCAGAGAAGTAGAGGCCGTGCCCTGATCAGCATAATTACAATGCTCCCGGGCTGAGAAGTCAGCACCAGGCCTCTCGCATTTCTGCAGTTGCTCAACGTGGCCTACCGGAGCCCCGCCTTGATAAGCCAGGGTGGACCCCTTGCTCAGCAGCCCTGGATGCAAGAGAGGTAGATTTGCTCTGCGGGTCTCTAGGAGGTTCCACTGAAAAGAATGAATTCTCTCACACACACACACACACACACCGAGAGGACTTTCTTTGATTCTCAATCTGAAATTGCTCCTGGGAGGAGTTGGTCTTCCTGTGCTTCTTATGTCAGGAGTGGCTGAGGGGCCCAGGTGTGAAGATCCTTTTTTTCCAGGCATAGTCCCTCTCCGACCCTCCCTGGCTGGTACACACACACACACACACACACACACACACACACACACACACCCCAGATCAGGGTGCCAATGGTGGGGATCATCACACAACCTCTATCACTATTATAGAGGACCTCTGTCTTGAGAAGCAGCTGGGTGGCCATCTTCTTCAAGAGTTCTTCTGAGCCGGGGAGTCCCTTTGATGTTAAGAGCTGCATTCCGGTGAAGAGGAACCCCCCTCCCTCTGGGGTTGATTGACCAGCACTTGAGCAGTTTTTCCTAAGGGGAGCACAAGTCTGAGTCCCTGAATTCTCTGCGTTTTAGGAATAAGATGAAAAGGTAATGCCTCACTCTTGGTTTCATTTTGGCCTCACAAGCGTCTGATAAAATCGGTGACATCATGGGCAGCCCTTTTTGCTGAAGGAAAGGACAGGATGCCATAGCCAAAAAGGGGCATTATTCCATGCATGCCATTCTCAACATGGCTCCAGGTTACTGGCACACCATTGTCCATCAGCCGCTTCATGTACAGCAGCCCGTCGTCTCGAAGGACATCAAACTCGCAGGTCAAAAGGAAGGTCTGAGGGAGCTTGCAGACGACCTCATCTTCAGCCAGCAAAGGGGAAAAAGTCTCTGACAGCATCTCTTTCATTTCTTCATACAGCTGAGGGTTAAAATTAGACAAAGAGTGGTCTTGTTCTGTGTAGCCCCTGACTTTGAACTGTTCGGGGATGTTGTTGGCATTCACCCACTTCTGGTACTTCAGTCGGGTGGCCTTGGGGACATGGCTGCTCTTCAGAAGATCATTTATAAAGGAAGTTGGCTTGTTAAGGTAGCGGCAGCAAAAGTAGGCAACAATTTTTCTCCACAAGAGGGGACTTCTGCAGTTCTGCTGATAGGATGGCAAAGACAAATCCATGGCCTGAAGTCCTGGGTAGATCAGCGCTTGAGCATGGACCTTGGGAAGGTCTCTGCGGTCTACCAGTAACTGGCAAACGCGTGTGGCAAAATTAGCTCCACAACTGTCTCCGGAAATGATAATACGGGAACCGTCTATGCCATAATCTTCTGCGTGTTTCATGAGGTAGACAGCAGCCTTCAGACATTCAGTATACTGGTTTGGATAAGGATTCTCTGGCGCAAGTCCATACCTAAAAGGAGCAGAAAATGACTTGTTATGGATTCTTGGAGCATTTATGAATTCAATCTTCACTTTCTTTTGTAACAGTTTGTTTTAAAAAAATGTAAAATGGAACCACACTCTTGCAATTATAGTGAGCTTTTATAAAAGCAATGATTCAAGATAGTACTAAGTAACTTTTGTTTTTAAGGAGTGGAATCTAAAAATGTCCATGTGAAATTATGAAAGTTATCCAATAAACATAAGGACTAGGTGAATTAATTCTGAGTAAAACTCAACAAAATTGTTGGACACCCAATTCCAAGGATATGTCAGGGAATTGCGCAGCAAGTGTCCAAATGAAGTCAGAGACACTTAAACAAATTTATATTTTTATATAAATAACTATTTTTCATCTACATTTACAGCAAACAAGGTTGTCAGGCCACCAGGGGCACCGTGAAGTAAATCACTTATGTGTTGTGGAGAGCAGTCGGATGGACCGGTGCCTTACCTTTGCTTACTTATACAGCCTGGACCATAATTTTAGAGCCCTCCCCCCCCATTGCTGCAGGTTAGAGAGGGAAAGAGGCGACACTCACCCAACCGCCACCACGGTTGCATCCCCCTCTTTGGCCATGTGGCGCAGGACTCTTTCGTAGGCATCTGAAACAAGCAGCGGAAAGTTGCACTGGATAAAAACCCACTCCTGCAAACCCCTTTCTTTCCCTGCCTGAAGCCTCGGGGGAAGGTTTGCTGAAGGCAAGCGGTCACACAAAGGATGGCCACGTTCACTGCTCAGCTCTCCTGCTTTTGGGATACTTTGTCAGAGGGCAGCTATGGGGGGAATCCCCCAGGTGGAATGTGGTGAAGGGGAGCAGAGAGCAAAGCAAACTGAGGTTTTAATACAGTTGGGCCTCTCGGCTTTCATCCTCAGAACAACTCAGATACGCTCAGGAAACAGGGAATCCCGTGTTTAGATGAGTTTTGCTCTTTTCAGCTGTTCGGTTAAGGTAGTTTGGTGACCCTTTGTCTAGAAAAAGCTCTGTTTGTTTCACTTACACTAGTGGAAGCCTTCAGGTCTACACAAGGCGAAGGAAGACATATGAATCTGACAGGGAGACCTGGTTGGATGGCCAAAGTGCCAAAGTAATAATGGGTTAGTATCATTTTTGTTATTGTTTTCAGATGATATAGCCATAATAACTAAAACTGACAAGGAAGCCGTAGATATTGTTAAACAGTTAGAAACCAAATTTAAGATCAGAAATTTAGGAAATATTAGGCATTATTTGTGTCTAGATATCAATCAAACAGCTAGAGGTTATAAAATGTCTCAATCTAGCAAAATAAGCCAAATGTTGAAACGTTACGGCATGGAGCTATGCAAGCCAGCTAAAACGCCTATGGCACAGGATTTTCAACAAGGAGAAATCCAAAGTCCTAAATTTAGTAAGGAGATCTACCAGTCTCTTATAGGTAGTCTATCTTATATAAGCAATTGGTCGAGACCCGATATTTCATTTGGAGTAAACCAATTAGCGAGATATAATGCAGAGCCAACTGATAGGCATTGGGAGGCCGCAAAGCGTATATTCTGAAAATGACGATGATTATACATTGTATCTAGAACCTAACAATGATTTAGTATTGAGCGCATATGCTGATGCCAGTTTTGCTACTGATTTGACCACCAGAAAATCCACATCGGGTATAGCTATCATGTTAGACAATTGTTTGATTGGCTGGAAATCAATTCGTCAAAAACATATTAGTCTATCTACTATGGAGGCAGAATTTTCATGTTTGTCACTAGTTTGTACTGATCTGATTTATTACAAACAACTAATGATGAATATTGGTTTAAAGATGGATTATCCAATTGTAATACATGAGGACAACCAAGCTGCTATAAAAATGGCAACAAATTTTGCAGTTAAAACTAGATCTAAGTATACTGACATTCGGTATCTGAATGTTCGGCAGTGTATCCAAAGCAACATGGTTAAGTTGGAATATTGTATGTCAGAAGACAATATTGTTGATAATTTTACCAAAGCGCAAGGTGATATCAAACATAAAATGTGTTGTGAAAGCTATGGATTAAGAATCTAAACTGTATATATTGACCTGTCCAAAGGGGAGAATGTTAGGATATGGTTTGAGCCTAACAAGTTGTCCAGGCAATATATGTGTTCTGTGACTTTAATATGAATATGTATTGTGTGACTTTAAAGTTTTAATGCTGATTCATTGTAATGCTGAGTCATGCTGTAATTAGATAATTACTGATTGTAAGCATATTTAAGAAAGGTACTGTAAAGTATTCAGTTGATGATATGCTACCATAGTGTGTGGAGTTGCTACCATTGTGCTATCATCGTTGGATGGATCTGCTACCATCGTGGTTTGTGAACCAGAGTGAGTTTGTTATTCTAACCAACTACTGTTTGTGCGGTAAGATTTTGTATCGCTGGACTGATTTAACTGGCAAAGACTTGGATTAATTTAAAGACTATGAGATTGTTTTTTCCCTATAAAGGAAACTTTTGATAAACCATTTTGGACATCTCTTATTCATTGCTGTCAGCAAAGTTTCTCTGTGCTCTACACTCTGCTGGTTGGTAACACAACAACAATATCCTTAACAGCCTTTGCATTGCATTTAGGGAAGTAGGATCACTAGAGAGCTCTTGGTTTAGTGTGAACAGTTGTATCTGTTTCTCTGTGTGTGTGTGTGTGAGAGAGAGGGAGACAGAGAGAGAGAGAAAGAGAGAGAGAGAGACGGAGAGAGAGAGAGAGAAAAAAAAACAAAGAGGGAGAAACATTGAATGAGGTGGAATGCCAGGTGACTTCATGAAATCTCCATGGTATGTTTCAACCCAGGGGTGAAATGCTACTGGTTCATTCCGGTTCAAGCGAACCAGTAGTGCTAAAAACTACAGTTTTGGGCAAACCGATAGTAAAAAAAAAAGCTCCTGGTTTGGTTGAACCGGTAGATAGCTCCTGGTTCAGTTGAACTGGCAGTTTAAAAAGCTACCGGTTCCTCCGAACCGGTATTTCTGATGATCAGCTGTGCAGGGTTTAATTTGCTAGAAAGCAGGAAATCCTTTAGCTTTCTAGTGAAGCTAAATCACAGGGCACAGCTGATCCCCCCTCGCTATTCTACTTACCTCCCCAAGCCTCCTTTTGGCGCGTATTGTGTATATGCATGCGCGCACAGCATGCATTTGGTGCGTGGCGTGGATAAGCGGCCAGCGAACTGTTAGCAAACTGGTTTGGATTTCACCACTGCGCCAACCTGAAAAGTTTTTGCCATTATGTGGGAAGTGTTTAGGGTTCCAGCTATCATTGCCCTGAGATTGCCTAACCTTCTTGGCTTTGCTGTCCGAGGTTGGCTTGGAATTTTGGCCTTTTTTGGCCTTACCGATGCTTCCGAAAACGCCCGCTCCTCCATGGAAGTAAAGCACAGCTTTTCTTTTCCTAGTTGGCACCGTTCTGGACGAGTAGATCCTCACTGGCACCCCATCAAATTTCTGGTTCTGAATGACAAGGGACGGATCCCTACACGGAGGTACTCCGGTAGTCCAAAGCCGTAAGACATCAAGGATGCTGCACAAACCCAGCTCCTCTAAAATAATTCCCTGTTGGCAAAGCACAGAAGAGGAGAATTTAATTTTGGGAGACCACCTTAATATTTTACTGCAGAGAGTTGGTATTCCTAAACCCGCATGGTACCCACAGCAGGTAGAGGGTCCTTCAGAATGAAAGAATGGGCATCGTGGTGTGACAACCCAGGCTCTGTGCCTTTTGTATGTGGATGTGAGGCAGAGTTTGCATTTCAGTGTTGTCATGCATCCTGTTGCTCTCCCTTCAACACATACCTGAAGTGCCCAAATTAAAGTGAGTTAGGCTGTAGTAGGTCGCAGTTATGACAGAATAGATGTAGCAGGACATTAAACTTTGCAAACTGGAGTACCTCCATAAGCTAGAAGTGCCCTATCATACTGAAGGGAGCTGGCTGGGCATCATGGGACCTCCAGCTCAACCAGCTGGAGGACTTCAGTGGGGGAATGCTGCCTTTTACAGAGGGAAGTCCTCCTCCTTCAGGCTTCCAAATCTGGACAGCTGAACCAGTCACAGCTTCAGGAAACTGTTTCTGTTCCATTGATGTGGATGTTCATAAATTCAGGCCAATTCTAATCTTTTAAGAAAAGGTTAAATCAGTGCAATTCTTCTCTCCCAGTTCATGAAAAAAGAAATGAAACCTTACCAAAATTAACCCTGTGACGAACATCGTCTGGCAGATGCGGGCCTTCAGGGGTTGATCGATCCCAGGAGGAAACACGGTTCCAGCGTACTGGATAAGGACCGAGAGCAGAAAGACGGCTGGGGAGATGGCACCTGCAACAAGAAGGCAGGCCAGGCACTTCCTGTAGGATACCATTGTGCCTCTCCTGAGACAGGTTCTCTTCCTCTGCCAAGCTGCCCGTGGAGGCTGTGAAGAGCCCGTTGGCTGATCCATGGAGAAATAGATGGTCCAGGATTGATAAGGGGAGGTTGATCTTCTCTTCCCCGCCCATTCTGTGCTTCGCCTACAGGAAGAACAGAGCAGGGAGGAAGGTGTGATGGGAGGCAGCACTGGGTCCATCCCTGCAGTTGGCAGGAGGTCCAGGTGTCCAGGTAGATCCCTTAGTGCAGGGATTCTACAGGCTTCTCTTTGGGACAATATCTTCTCAGCAGTTCTCCTGCCATCAGCTGGGCATCGAAATCCCACCTGGTCACCATGCAGATTTAATCCCAAACCTTCTGTTGATTTTTAAATCGATTGCTGCGTCATCTCGCTCCTTTCCCATCAATTCTCGGGATTGTAGTGGTGTTAACGTTGTTAATTTAGCCATGGTTGTGGTCCTTATATGGAGAATTTTTTGCCCATGAGCCATGACCATCCCACCCTACAAGGGATGTGCGGTGCCCCCAGTTCAGGGGCAGGTGTGCTAACCTCTGCCTGGATCCAGACTGGAAGAAAAATCCCAATCTGCATAGAAGACAACAGAGGACAACTGGTGTAGGGTCTCCTGCTTGGGCGGGGTTACAAGGTCCCTTCCAATTCTGTTAATCTGTTAAAAACACTGCTGGGTTCCCATTCTCTCATCCCTTGGCAAGGATGGAGGTCACGCACGGGCGGCTTCGTTTTCAAGATTCGGAAGCTCTGAGCAATCGGATGTCATTAGCAGACTGAACCATCTTGATTGTGATAATATGATGTTGCAGTAAAGTAGGTAGATAAGAGAAGTTTAACAAGGCCAGTGGGGTGTTGGTTGGCTTTTTCTTGCAGACGTTTCATTACCCAACTAGGGTACATCATCAATTTTTCAAAGGCATTTCCAAGAAACGCTTTTTTGTCACTGCAGATGAGAAGTCCTGTTGTAGCCTTTCTGTCTCAACACGGACCGCCTTTTCTGGCAGAGTGACTGGGCAGAGGGAAGATGTTACTTTTTTTTTCAAAACTAGCATTTTTTTTGGCCATGAGCCATGAGCCATGACCATCCCACCCCACCATCCTCTTTATCACCGTTTAAGGAGGGACGGTCCTAAAAAAGCTTTCTTTACTGGGTTGAATTTATATTTACCGACAAAGAAATAAAGGGAGACTAGTATAGTATTTCAAGCTACTTAGCTCTAGTCAGCTAGCAATACCATTCTGGGATTCGAACCTGGGCTACTTACATATTACGTGGATGTATTAACCTCTAAGCCACATGCTCTCCTCGCTTTGTTGACTATACCAGGGGAGAGATTCAATGTTTTTCCCGGTGAGACCAGTCTATCAAGGCAACTTGGTCTACCCAAATATGGGATGGAGCAACTGCTTCTGCTTTCGCCTTTCAACCCCAATCCAGGAGCCTTTGCAGACAGTCGCTTTCGCAACAAACTATTTTTGTATTGAATTTACCTGAATTAGGTAGAGGTTAATCCATCTACCTAATATGTAAGTAGCCCAGGTTTGAATCCCAGAAGGTTATGGCTAGCTGACAAGGGCTAAACAGCTTGAAATAGATCTATACTAGTCTCCCTTTATTTCTTTGTCTGTATATATAAATTCAATTTAAAAAAAAAGTTTGTCACAAAAGCGACTGCCTGCAGACTCCTGGATTGGGGCTGAAAGGCGAAAGCGGAAGCAGTTGCTCCGTCCTGAAAGACCGTTCTCCCCAGGAAAAACACTTTCTTTACTGAGAGATCTCTCCAGCTTCTGGCCCTTCCCTTGGCGGTCCCACTTCCCCTCTTGAGATGGGGGCCCTCTCCAAGGCGTCTTTCCCTCAGGGTTGCTTTTTCTCAGTCCATAAATCGGTCAATCTCCCCTCCTCCTTGCCTAGTGAGACCCACAGATGGTCTCCGCTTGGGTGTGCAGGTGTGGCCTTGTTCTGCCTCACCTCAGGCGGAAGGATGGATCAGACTTGCAAACCACAAGAAGGCACACTAATCCCTTGTGGGAACTGCACATCCCCATTATTGTCTGCAGATCCGTGGGTTGATCCAGATTGGTGTTTTCACCGTCTGGTGCAAGAAGCAGGTTTGGGCAGCCTTCTGTAGGATGAGAGGAGGGGGCCACTCAGGTCTCGGGGGTGGGGATGGGTTGGCATCGGAGGTGAGAGTTTGCTTCCCAACTTAAACAGGGCCTGACCACTAGAATCAGACACAGCATCGCTTCGGTCCAGGGGTGGGGCAACAAAAAACGAGGACTGAGAATGGGGCCCTCTGCCTGCCCACCTTTAGCCGCTGAGCCCTGGGAAGATTGCTGCCAGGAAGAAGGCAGTGGGAGGCCACCGACTGGGGAACTAAACACCTTCCCCTGTGGCAGGTGCCCGTTCCCGTTGAACAGGTGCATCCTTTCTTGACAAGGCTGATCCGTGATGGGGGAGGATTTCAAGGACCTCCTGTACTGCAGAACTGAGCCTCTTAGACTCTGCTGAGCCTCTTCTGTCCCAGAACCACAACAAGCAGACCACAAACCAGCAGGCAACTCCTGTGCACACCTCAGGCTTTTTAATGGTCCCGTTTTGTAGAATCCCGGCTTCCTCCCGTAGCTTGCAATACCTCCTCTATCCACCAGAGGACTCTCTTGTCTAGGAAATCATGGCGGGTGGTGGTGGTGAGGCATTGGCTGTCTATCTTGTGGGACAAATCTTCAGTTGTAGGGATGGAGGGGCCATCAAGGAAATCAACAGCAGGATGCAAGGGTGGGGGGGAGGGGTGAAGGGGGGGCTGAGTGAAAAGTAATGTCTCTGCCTCCATAACTTTAGTCTAAATAGGGCTATTTTAATGAAGGCAAGAGGAAATTAGCAATTTTGCTCCCCGTCCTTAATTCTCTGCATCAGCCACATCGTGAAAATCCTCAATGCTTTGTCTCTTCAGCCAGGTCCTGACAGTTCTGTGTCTTGATCTGAGTCGAACGGAGGCCCTTCCATTTTGGGAGGAGGAAAAGGTCAAACTCACGTGTTGACAGTCTGCACTACATGGGGGGTGGGGGCCAAGATGGTGAAATACAATTTGACAGTTGCTTCTCGGTGAGGAAAGGCCGACACTCACAACATTTTCTCCATGTGCTTCTGGGCTTTGCTGGATCATAGTTTCAATCTTTGAAAGTTGCAGTCTAGTGCCGGGTTTAAGGAAATCTACATGAATAACACCATCTGTATTCCCAAAAACTGTACAGACAGTCATCAGTTAACAACAGCATATAAATCAAATAAAAAAAAAAAAAAACACCCGTTCAGTGGCCATTTGAGGTTGTGATGGTGCTGAACAGGTGGTGCCTATGATCGATCTCTGAGACTGTAGCCATCCCAAGGCCCCCAGGTCAGGTGCTCCAATCTGGCCACTGGACAGTTGGCTCGCATTTACACCTGTTGCCACGTTCTACGGCTGTGCGATCCTTATTTGCAGGATCCCCTGCCAGCTGGTGATCTCGTATTTGTGGGGGGGGGGAGTGTGATGGTTGTAAGTGAGAGTAGAGGTTGTAAGTCACTTTTTCCAAGGTTGTCATAACTTCAAATCAGCATTGTTCAATGAATGGCTGTAAATTGAGGACTACTGCATGCCTCTTTATGGTTTGAGCTGAAATGGGCATTGTGAGCTTGTATTCTGTGCCCTGCTACATTCCCCCAGTCTAGCGTAGGCGCATGACTCTGCCTCGTTGTTTATTCCTGCGTGAAAGATCAGGTGCCGAGCTGAAGCCTGCAGGATTCATATCCTGCCTCATTGTCTTCTCCTTGCAATCACATTCTTAATCTCGGTAATAAAATACTTAAGGCTCCTTCAGAATCTACTGACCTAATTTTGCCAGGGAATTTAATCTGTTGCGCATCGTGGCTGCTCTGCCTACCTAGGACTCCTTTCCTCCCACGTAAGAGAGCAGAGGGCTTTCTGGGTAACACATGGGATGCAGGCAGGGTCAAACATGAGGGAGATGTGCCACCGCAAGAGAGGCTGTGGGGAGACTGACTTTTGCTCAAGACCATGGAGATGAGCACATGGCAGCCACAGGGGTCTGCAGGCTGGGTGTCAAGAGTCCAGGGGGGAGAACTCCGGATAAAGTTCCACCGTACTCTTAATCCTGTGCTTATTATCCGAGGCGTAGTAAGAAGGGCTGGGCTGCTGGGAGTTCTCAGGGGTTCGGAAGAACCTCTAGCTGAGATTCTGTGCAGTTTGGAGAACCCCCAAACCCACTTCTGGCTGGATCCAACCACCCCACCCCTCCCAGGAGTCCCCGTGCAGCCCGTTTTGGATGCAGGTAAGTGCAGGGCACGTGTGGAGGCTCAGGGAGGGCGTTCTCTGTGGCCACAACGACCCTCTGGAACGAGTTACCCACTGGGCTCCGGACGGCCCCTGACCTCTGCTCTTTTCGCAGTGACCGGAAGACATGGCTTTTTCAGCAAATCTTCTGATCTGTTTGGCAGCTATATTTTTAATTTGGGTATTTTAATTGGATTTTTAGTATTATTTATTGTTTTGTTTTATTGCTGTGAGCCGCCCCGAGTCCTTCGGGAGAAGGGCGGCATATTTATTTTATTAAATTTCTATACCGCCCTTCTCCTGAAGGACTCAGGGCGGTGAACAGCCACAAGATAAAACACATAAATACAAAAATTTAAAATAAGTTAAAAACGAATTAAATAATTTGGCTGAATTTAAAATACCCCATAATTTAAAACAAATGAAAATTTACATTTAAAAAGGGGAGAAGTTTTAGGCCAGGCCAGCTTGATGAAATAAAAAAGTCTTAAGCACGCGACGGAAGGTGCACAGATCCGGGATCCTCCGTATCTCCGGGAGGAGCTCGTTCCAGATCGTAGGTGCCCCCACAGAGAAGGCTCTCCCCCTAGGGGCCGCCGTATATACACATACATACATACATACATACATACATACATACATACCGGAGGT